CCCAGAGGTTGGTTTCTCTGGCTAATATGCCATACTTTATAAAGTGATTGCTTATTTTTTTGTATGGGAAAGAATCTGTCAGATGATAATGAGAATGCTTTTCCGTTGTTTTTTCTTATCCTAGTTTTTATGCCCATATATGCATCTACTCTCGATAATCAAGGAAAGCATATTTCTTGTTGACCCCATCTTTATGATGAAGCAATAATCATGAATTTTGTTTTATCTACTGGAGCAGTAAAATGCTGTGAGATGCCCCAGTCTCTTAATTGCACCCATCCTTTTAGCTAGTTAAATGGACTGTTGTGATACAAGTGGCAGCTTTGCCTTACCCAGATTAGGGCTGGTCATTCGTGTTCACGTGTCATAATTGGGTTTTGTAATTGTTTAAGTCGTGTCATTCAATAAACCTGCGTTTTACTAATTATGCTATACAACATGTATGTTAAATTTGTGTCAGTTTGTATTACTTTTGGGTTTTCCATATAATCGTGCATAAACGTGTTAACTTGTGTTGTAAATTGCCAGCCCTAACTCTAATGTGTCAAGATTTTTTCTAATATCTTTTACCTCAAACTCACAGTGTCTTGTATGCTAAATATTCGTGAATATGTGATATTGGTGAAATAACATTCCTATGATTGCATTTCTGGAAGATCTTAAATTTCAAAAGTATTAGTTTGTGGCATTGGTTTAATCGCTGGTTGCATGACTGTTTCATCTTAACTTTATGGAACTTGATTTTTTGTTTTTTTTTTTGCAATTTCTAGGCTGATGAAGATCAAGAAGATCCTGATGAAAGATGGGATCCAGACTCTGACATGGATGTTGATGAAGATCGGTATGTTTTTTATCCTCTTTATTCACTTCCATCTTATTTCATTGATATATAGCTAACTGAACTTATAATATTGCAGCAAGCCCCTGCCTAGCAGAGTAAAGAGAGAACTAATAGTAGAACCTGAGGTCAAAGAGCAGGTTGGTCCGCTTCTTATATAACTAACGTGTAATTTTAAGTACTATTCTTTTTAATAAAATATTTTAATTTCAGATTTGTAAGATTGTCCTATCCACTTCGTAAGTTTTTCTTTTTGTGCCCTCTTTTGTGTGAAAATTGTGGATATCCTTCAGTTGTAGTCCATGCATTATTCTTTCAATTTTTGCAGTAAAGCCCACTTTGTGAGATGTTTTAAGTAATGTTGCACATGTACAGATTGTGGAATATTGGAATATCAAAATGCACAAATAACATCACTAACCTGACATAATGACATGTCAGTGACAGCCAATGAGCTTTAGTTTACAGCTTTTTAAACTCGATTTCGTACGATTCAAAATCTCGAAATAACTCTCTTGTTTCTCTGTCAAAAAGCCGAGGGAAGACTTCTTTCTGGTTGAGGTTCTTTTGCTTCTGGTGCTGCAATATTTGACCTAATTACTCTGCACCTTCTATCGCAGGATTCTCAGAAAGCATCTATAGATCATGGTAGAGCGCTTGACGCAGCACAAGAGGATAATGCATCTCTAAAGGTGACTGAAGCTGTAAAATACACAACCATCATACATTTTGATCAACGGACTGGCATATTAAGCTCCATTCATGTGGTTTTTGCAGGTGTCTGATATGAATTCTATGATAACAGATGAACAGAGCGTGAAAATGGAGCAAGACAATATGAACAAACCATCTGAGCAAATATTCCCTAAATAGATTGTCCATTGTTGGTAATTGACTTGTAATGCTTCTGTGGCAAATACTTAAAGCTTATGATGTGGAACGTAGGCTCTTTTTTCTGTGAACTATTTTGCTAAATTAAACCTCAGCAAATACTGCTTCCTTGTGTTTTATAGATCCAGACATTCTGATTTTGTGTAAAGTCGACAGTTAAGCTATTGAACTCCCAGTACAATTCATTAGAATTTAAACGGCTCAATGAAATCTTCATAGTTTTGTGATAGAGGTAATGTGTGGTTGATTTTCAGAGTTCCTAATACTGGCTAAGAAATTATGCAGTTGTGACATTTCTTCTTAAGATATTGCAACAATGCGACTATATATGGCTGGTTGTTTTGATGATCTTTGCACCCATCCCACTCTATATCTTGCCGATTGCACCAACGGAACGACTACGGCTGAACAAAACGCATGAGAGACCGAATTAAACTGAGTTTTTATTTTTATCTGTTTCACCACCACATTGATCTCACAGCGCACGCAAGAATGTATGAGTATGATACAATAATTACAACTTAAAATGTGACATCCCAAAAATTCGCATAACTGATTAGTGGCATTATATGAATTGCTAATTGGAAATGGCCAAGAATTGATTAGTAATTATCGAGATACTTTCGGAATATCGATGATCAAGCGTTTGGCATATTTTAATCCGAAAATCTTTGGAGTGTATTGGACAATTGAAGAGATCAATGTGTAACCGGTCATCTAGGGCAGAATTTCAGCATGCAAATTGAATTATTTAGTCTATATAATCATGTTTACTATTCACATTAGTCAATCAGATTTAATGCAAGGTGGGGAGGCTTGTTGTGCAAGTTGGGAGGCTTGTTGGACACACCATCTTGGGGCTCATGATGAAGAATTATCATAGCTCTCTCTCTCTTTCCCTTGAACTCTCGGCAGCAACCTCTCCCTCACTCTCACTTCCCTCTCACCCCTCTTGGTTTCTTTCCCCTCTCTAGCCGACTCTCTCTCCTCTGTTCCAGCACCAAATTCTTCTCTGCTTCAGCATAAATTCTTCACTGGTTCATCTTGGAACTCACGGCCAAAGCTCAAGATAAGGGAAGAATCGGTCCTAGAAGCTAAGGCAAGGAGATGAGACCCATTTCTAAGCCTTCCAATCTTCCTACACCCTTGATTTTGTTAGTATTGAGTTGTAGATGTAATTTGGTGGCTTGCTTGTGTGGTTCTTGATGTTTATTGTGCATGAATGGGTATGACCAGACCTAAAATTGGGTGTTGCATGTCTATTTAAGCTTCTGGAAATGAGTTTTGTGGGTTGAAGATTCGTGAGTATCAATTAGAGATTGAATCCTTGAAGTTTGGTTTTGGAAAACCAGATTTGTTGTTACTATACCTCTTCAAATTACTATTTTTGTAGAGACTTTTGTGGGTCGAATTTGAAGTTATTTTCTTCACAAAAGTTGTTCTTCACATCTTGAGGTTTAACATACTTTAAATCTGGATTTTTCTGAGTTGATTTGGGTCACATGAAGTCTTACCTTCAAACCGGGTTAACCACCCAGAATTGAACAGTTTGAGATTTTCATCCTTTCTCGATTTTTTATAAAATTTTCTGGTACGAATATTAACAAACTCCCTTCACAAAAGTTGTAAAGGATTGTTCTTTCTATGACATATAAAAATTTCAAAGCATTTGAAGGTGATTTGGTTACTGGAAGAGGAATAATTTGTGAAGTGGACATTCTGTTCCAGTGAGAAATTTTTAGTCCGTTTTTGAGATAGTAAATGAGATACTTACAAAAATATTTGGAATTTGGTTTCTTCATGAAAAATGTTTATGCAAGTGTTTTTTATATCATATTCAAATTTTAGAATTTTCGGAGTCCATCTACTATTTATTTTGAAGGAATTTCCGTTACTGTGCAAAACTGCCCAGATTTACCCAATTTCAAAGATGCACAATTTCTCACGTGAAACCTTAGGGAATTTGAACTTGATGTCTTATGGAGACAAAATCTATACATTCTTTGCTTTCTAATGAGATATGATTGACCTTGATGTGACGTCAAATGATGGGACAAATGTGATTATGCATGAGAAATGGCAAATGATGAGATGTATGTAACAATTGCTATGAAATGTATGAGAATAATGCCAAGTGATTAAGACCTTTGCCACGGCCTATTCGTCACTGAGCAAATTCCCTTGTATGAGTTATGGATAAGACTCTGAAGTCAGCCAGATGTTTTACCGTATGGAACGTTTCTCTACAAGGTTGAGATGATATGAAATCTTATGATGACATGACTCGTGTAGTCATTGTATGACATGGCTCTTGTAGTCATGGTATGACATGATTTTGCTATGGTATTATGTTAAGAAATAACCATAATCACGCGGATGTACAATAGTGTATTTATCCTCACTATTGAAGAGGACACCCGTGATGAATGGGCTGAGGCGTGGCAAAGGGTATGAATGATTCCGTTCCCCATGAGTTGGTGGTGACGATGCCTCGTTAGTCGAGATGCTTGTGAATCGAGATGGTCCTGGCCAGTGACGAATGTGAACTCATGTGTGTAAATTGATGAAATACGATGTGGTATTATGAGATAATATGCCATCTACTTGCATTTGAGTGAATGATCCCATTCAAATTGCTTGATATTGATGGTTTTCAAAGATGTTATTAATCATACTTGTTTGCCTAAAATGCATATCATGTAGGTGTGTCCTAGGAATCGAGAGTTAGTAAGATCGATCGGTTTATAAACTGGTCTTATCTCTTATTGAGCGTTAGCTCACTTCTGTTGATTTACATTTTTTTCAGATAACTAGAATGAATATCCCTTCGTTGGAAGATGTTACGAAACCAGGATCGACCTTGCTTATTACTCACTTTTTGGCTATGACCATGAGGCTGGGTAATTGGAGATTGGTGAAAACAGTTGATTTCACTTGGATGGCATAGGGGGAGTAGACACCTTTATGACCTCCCAGGCGTTGTCTTCTGTTTGGTGTTTGATGATGATATAATCCAAATCATCCTTGTATACAAATAAAAAATGGGAAATGAAGATGTGGTATTTTTGCACTGGATGTGTCCACTGAGCGAGAAATGTTTAATTTGATTATGGTTTGCTTTCCGCTTGTGCTAAGAACGTAATTTTATGGAAATTCGAGGTGTTACATAAATGTTTAACAGTGAGAGTTCCAGAAATCATTACAGGATCATCGTCACTAGGTTTGAGAGTAGTTCCAGTGGTCATTGTCAGGAGTATGCCATGCTTTAGACGTCGGAAAACTTTGCCTTATCCAGCGGGTAGCACGTCATTAGATGATATACAAGAAACTTCCCATATTGTTGTTCTGATTATATACAGTGCCTGTTCAAAATGCATTTATGTTTCCACTATCGAATACCCAAATAAAAATCGGTGATTGGAAAGTATAATGAGCTTCATGTCAAGTATCAGCTGTCCGTGTCTTTCTATTTCTCATTTGCAGAACTGTCAAGTGAGTTCTAATATTAGCCCGCGGCAATTCAAAAATGGAGTTGTCACAACGTAGTCTGCTCCTCGGCTCCTGGGTTTTATGGCATAGAGAACCGTCTGAGATGCACGTTCTTGTCACTGGAACACATCCGCTACAGTCGAACTCCCCAAACATCAGCAACTTCCAAATTACCCAAGCTGCTAAAGAATTTCAGGCACCATAACAGTCCCTTTCTGAATTATGACTACTCCTTGCCACGCCTTTCTATAAAGATGGATGTGGATGTTATCTTCCTAAGCTTTATAGGCCCAAAGGTAGTTTCAAAATAGCTGGTGGAAGTACTCATTGAAGCGGCCAGATACAATTAATGTTGATCGAGCAAAACCTACCTAGGAAGTTGCTTTGCTGCTTTCAAACGGGGATCTGGTCTGTGCCTGTGCTGCGTTATGCATGACCTTTTGTCCATCTTGTAATGATAGGTGCTTTATAATCTAAAGATTTCACGAGGAGACAATCATTGTCAAGCACTGATCCCAGGAGTGGAACTTGTCATTTAAATAATTCTTTCATCGCCAGAACTCTGCATGGAAAAGGAGAAAAAGAGACAAACGGAAATCAAAATACATACCTATGTGTGCATCTCTACACTTGTGTGGACACACACAAATGCGGCATATCACACACTCACCCACAAATAGGGAAAATGACACATTCGTGCGCGCGCACAAAATAGAGTTGATACTTTCCCATCTCACCTGTGATATCTGAGCAGTAAGTCTGTCCTTTATGAGTAGGACATACCTAAAAGCACTGAATTTGTAGACATGTTTTTGGTTAACCTATGTTCTCCTCCCGACATTTTGTTTAGTGAATCGAAGTGAAGTTTCTGACAAGACCCTAATGAATTACAGCCACTTCTGGTGCTGCTGCTTTTCATTGTGAATTTGTGAAAATAATACGTGAGCCAAGTGAAATAAGACAATGTGTTTTCTGGTGAACTTGTATTAGGAGTTATCAATTAGAGAGTGCTTGAAGTTGGGGACGAAACCTGCAAGTTAGGCTGATGCACTCTGTGTCCAAAAGACCAACAGGGTGTCCTCTATGATCTTTGATCTGCTCTGAAACAACTGGAACATGGCTCAAGCCATGCCTATTCATACATGTACGAGCATAAAGAAGATTCATGCTAGGAACTGCCGTCCAGGGGACTTGACATTTGCCATCCTCAAGAGAACACAGTTCGGATACTAATAGCTCCTGTGAGGAAAAGTCAACATACTGTAATATCTATGCAAGTAAAACGCCTTACATTAATGGGGCAAAAAACATGTGAAGAAAGGCACTAGTCGCAGAAGATGTTGTCTGACAAATTAATATGTATACAATATCCATCCTTCCTCATTAAACTTCCCACTTGGCCATTTCATCACTAAAACTTACTTTTCTTCCTTCCATCAAAAATGATTTCCAGGGTCGTTCTTCCTTACATTCAGTTGATTTTCAGGGTCATATATGTCAAGGAAACTTTGTGGTATTACTCTAGACTTGTAGGATCAGTCACATTATATTCCATTCAAAAAACATTTTTAAAGCAGATTTTAAGCTAAATATGATAGTAGAATCGAAAAGGAGTGTGCCAACCTTTGGTTCTTTCCTTCTGGTAGTAGAAGATCTGATGAATCCTTGAATGTCCTCTAGCGTAAGAAGCCCGACCAAAATTCTGTCATCATCAACAATTACTGCACATGATTGCTTCTCTGCGAGCATGAGGCTCACAGCTTCTGACAGCAAAGTTCTTCCTTGGACACTGACATATCTTGTCCTCATGGCCTGTGCAACCAGAACTTTTCCTTCCAACTCTTCACTTCCAGTAGTAGGCTCCTCCAGACATAGCGAACTTTCGACATCACAAAGGTTATAGGCATTTGCAGTTGTTTCAACTAGTGTGTAAGAAGAAGGTACTTCACTTCTGTTGCCGGAAGTTTCAAATTTTGAAGTTACAGGAGTATTTCCTTTGTAAGTTTTTGTGGCACCCTTGTCATCTAGCTTTCTACTGTCCTTGCTATCTCTTCTTTTGGACTGTCCAGATGTAATCCATGAAGACAATCCAACAGCCCCAAGTAGCGGTAGAACTATCCGATAGTCCTGTGTCAGTTCAAAAAGCAACAGAACTGAAGTAAGAGGCACCTGACACACCCCTGCCAGAGTAGCAGCCATTCCTACCTGCAACAAAATTTTCCGTCATTGGGCATTTGATGCATAAAGACCAAAAGGGTCTCTGAAATCATAGTAAAGTGGATTTGTAAGTGATTGATGTTTTACACTGCCCCATTTGCTGCATGGTTATATTTACACAAGAACCCAACAAGATGTCAAAGTAATATTTCCATAATGCCAACCAACAATCTCAAGCCTAAGCAATCTGCGTGTACGAAAAGCTTTCTCTTTTGTGGGTTGACTGATATTAATGATTCTTATTCTCATAGATTCCTTACGCAGCTTCTTGACATGAAATACGCATTAGTCAGCATCTGACACCTTTCTGGTCAGATTACGCAGCAGAGAAATGCTTGTTAGCATTTGTTAGCATTTATGTTTTCGTGTATGTCGGTCCAAAAATCGACAGTGCTGATGACGATTAAATTATGGAGAAGTACCAGGCCATATGCTTGAGGTGATGCCACTTCCAAAATGGAGAGATGGAATATTGGATTCAACTGGGAAAGTGCAGAACTAATTAATTTCCCATACGCTGTCCCAGTTGCTGCACCAATAAAGAGGGAAGGGGCATAGAAACCACCTACTAATCCTGAAGCGCGGCACAGAGAAGTTGCTAGTATTTTAACAGCTACTAGTTGAAGCAATAGATCAGCAGATAGACCTTTTACAAACGGCCCAGATTCCAACAAAATGTCAACATTCTCAAAACCCCAGTAGAGTATTTCAGGATATGCCAAGGCTATTATGCCAACTGTTAAGCCACCCATTACGGGAAAGGCAGCCCTTGGCATTCCGGTGGCTTCATGAATATTGTCAACAATGACCAACATATATGATGTACATCTAGACAATGCCAGTGAAACCAAGCCGCATAGGGCACCCAATAGAAGATACAATGGGAGTTCTGAAAAAGAATTGAACAAATTCCAGATAAGCAAAAATAGAACTGTTGTTCCTCCAAGATTTGAAGTTATGAGCAGAAATGCTCATCAGATACAGTCATGCATAAATCATGTGAGCAATCCGGATTCTTTAGCCAATCATCACATGGACAATAAGGTTCACAAGAGGTGGACGACATGTTTACCAACAAAGAGTTGCAGCAATTTTCTGCAAAATAAGACATAAGGACAAATAGTAGCAAATTGTGGCACCTGTGTCTATAACAGCATAGAAAGCATCGACATAGAAAATAATTTTAATGATCACTATCCACAAAGCTAGCAATGGTGAGATTATCTAAGAATAATTTCGATAAATACAGAGTCTATCTAGCCATTCAAAGAGTTACTAGAACCGAGGCAGTCTGTGAATTTCAAGTCAGCACTTGCGATGGCAGCAGAAGCAGCCACTTTCTTGTCCATTCAATCAGTGAAAGAGAGACTTAGGTAATAACCATTAGTGACCCAAAACTTGAACCAGTGTGCACAACCGAAGAAAGTAGTTGCATCCGAGGTACTGCTCTAGATGCAAATGAACGGTTGCAGATGTATCAAAACTAAGAATAAGATTCCTGATCTAGGCAATGAACCCTTAGAGTCGAATGCTTTCCAAAACTAATCTTCCGAATGTTTTAGAGTATTCTCAAGAATTGCTTTAAGCTAGTAAAGTCACATTAACACAACGATTGAACTATGACTTGTAAAAGTCCAAAAGGCAATTGGGTGAGGCATAAATCTTTAGTGTCTTCTACATCTATTTCAGTGCCTTAAACATTAGAGTACTTTAAACTTTAAAATCTAGGAAGTAAAACTTCAAGATGGAGTTAGAAGCCTTTTGAGGTTCTCTATGCATGATTATTGAAGCCCACGATAAACTAATTTTACCGTCCATATGGCTGATGCATGTCAAAGTAAACATGGTTAGAGAGAGAGAGAGAGAGAGAGAGAGAGAGAGAGAGAGAGAGAGAGAGAGAGAGAGAGAGAGAGAGAGAGAGAGAGAGAGAGAGAGAGAGAGAGAGAGAGCAGTGAGCACATAATTTATCAAGACAATTTGACATGTAGTTGCTTTCTTTTTTTAAGCAAATTTGACATGCAATTTAAAATCTTAAGCTGCGATTTGCATGTATGGCACCAGTTGCTACTCTTTTATTAATCAGAAAACATGTCTAACAGAAGCCTCCATTTAGAAGACTAAATAAGCATGTCTATGTAAGTGGCGAGCATTGATAATGGATGACTTACCCCCAGGCGATCGGAAGTCATATAGTGGGACTTTGAAGGCTGGTTGAGAGCCAAGACCAACTTCTGATACTATCGAAGCTATAACAGCACTGAGGATAACCATAGAGGTGTTATTTGTAAGTGACATGGATAAATCTGCTGGGGAGGGCCACAAGACAGACTCCACAGCAAAAAAACAACCAGCAACAGCAGCATTAAAACCTAAACACAAACGAACAAGTATAAGAATTCCGGAGAAACATCAGGAGGGGTTTAGCCTGATCTCCTTTAGGATTAGGATGCTACGGGGCACCTTTCCTCAATGCCAATTTATGCCCACCTGCTTCAGATATTCATTTTGTAATTCTTCTTTAGGAATAAATATGAATTAACATTGAACTTACGAAACTCCCAATCTCTTTGCTAAACTACCTTGCATTGTTAGTAAAGCTTCCTATGGAATAAAACATGAAAGGACATTAAAAAAATGAAACTGCCAATCATTTAACTAAACTACCTTGCATTGCCATTGAAACTTCCTATATTAAACCCTAACAGAAAACCCTGAACAGAGAAACATGCCCTTCTGCAGAAACTGAAAATTTCTATGTAAAGGGTGTGTTAAAGCGACGCAGAAGGCAAGTGAGCTGTCCAGGTAAATATCCACCTGAGGAAATTCCAGCAGCAGACCCCGCCGCCACAAGCGAGAGCCTTCTTTGTGAACTATTATCAAACAGTTTGCCAACGCCCTTCGCTACCGACACTCCAATCTCCACACTGGGACCTTCCGGGCCCAGAGAATTCCCCGTACCTAGAGTAACACAAGCAGCCACAGCCTTAAGGAATGGCCTCAATCCGACCTTCACTATATCTCCTCCCTCACCAACCTCTTCTAAACCACTCCTAACCGCGTTCAGCACCCCCACGATCAGACCACCGCAAGCAGGGACAAGAATGACCCGCGTCCAGATAGCCTCAATGGGCTCTTCTCTGAGCCACGAAGCTCCCCTAGAAGGTATCCCGTCCCAGAACAAATCGCGAATCTCGTCAACCCCACTGTTGAATATCACTACGCTAATGCCAGTCAAGAGACCCACTAAGCAAGAAGACACGATAACCCAGTTCCCGCTTTCCCGCGACAAAGCTTCTTGGATCACGCTTCCCACGACACCGCCTCCGCCTCTCTGTCGGGTCTGCTCCCGCGGGGCGAGAGCGTCGTCGACGTCATCGTCTTGGAGAAGGGACGAGTCGTCTTCTCCGTATCTCGAGCAGCGAATGCGGATGACGCTGTTGGCGGCGGGAGATGGAGATGAAGAAGACGAGCGCTTCAAGAGCAAGAACGACGGCGGCGGCGAAAGTGGCAGAGAGGATTTGGGGATTGAGGTTTCGGAGAAGAGCGGAAGTGGGGGTTGGTGCGAGCTGGAGATGAGCAGTGAATGATGGAAGCTCGCCATTGCTGCTTTCATTTTCTGCTTCAGGCGCTGTTTCATGGATAAGGAGGAGGAAGCAACTAAGCCTCAAGAGCGTGTCGCCGAGATCGAACTCAGTTGTATATATATAACTGCTCCACGAGGGACAGGTAAAACGTTAATTCAAGGAAAAAACATCGGGCAATTTATGCTTTTGTTTCTGTTTTTTTTTTCTTTCTCTGAGCTTTCTTCTTGGAGTGTCAATTTAACTCTCAGTCTATCCAATTATTGACAAGAAAGTAAGATATTATCGAAATTATTGTCTTTTAACCAAAAAAAAATATTCGCGTAATAGTTTATAAATTCGAAATGATGCAGTTCCGTGTAATGATCTGATATCGTGTTTGGTGCGATAAAATGGAATAAAACAAGGTGATAAAATTAGAATGGATTATAACGGATTTCAATGAAGATTCTAATCTCGATGTTTGATGAACCGTGGGAATATGGAATGGAATTCTCATATTTGTTTGTGAGAGAAGCTTTGATGGAATACAATGGAACCATAATAAGATTCTCCTTACACTTGAATTCACTTAACTTACGTTTCGTTACGTGACACTATTGTCATACTAAAACACGTTATATGATTTAATGTTGATTGCAATTTAATTAGTAGAGGAAATTAATTTTCCAATTAGTAATCCATAATTAATTTAATCTAATATTCTAGTCTTAATTTAATGCACTGAATTTTTCAGTTAGGTGTTCATAAATAATTTATCTGATGTCAGTTCATATTATAGTTATCCACACTAAACTCATAACTATAAATACATAAATCCACATTTCTGATTTCAACAATATGCACAATCAAATTTTTTTTTAAATAAAATTAGTTAGTCATTTAATTCCACGATTATAATTTCCCCAAATTCAAATGTTCGTGATAATTAATATTTACTCCTGTGATTTATAAATTAATTAATTTCGCAATTAATATTTTTGGTTTAAAATGGAAATGGAATCGCGACGCCTCCATAAATCCCAACCATATCCCAAGGGTAAAAGGAGAGGGGGATTCCAACTTCCAAGGAATGCTCATTCCCATTGGTACCCCAACATAATCTGAATAATTTCTCTCAAGTGGTGCTGAAAGATTTACGACCAAAATCGTGTGCAATTGTGCGTCTGCGCCAGTTACAACTCATAAGAAAAAGGAAAGAGTCCAAGCACTATTTGCATTGCAATAAGTTTAAATTTGAACCCCATAAAAGAAAAATATAAGGAAACCCCAGCTGCTTAACACAAACACATTCGGTAACTCACCGTAATTAAAAGAACTGAAGTTTCTGTGGCTTGAAAAGGGATCCAAAAGCTCTCAGCTGAAGATAATCAAGGCTCACGAGGATGAACGGCATTTTTTGTTTCTTTTGTAAAAACATTTCGACCGTGACATTCGCTGGCCGGGACATTCAGCATGAATGTGCATAATCGTCTTGAAGAATAAAAGGACCAAGGCCTATTTTGACCAACTCGAGCCACGAATCAGGCCGAAGACAGAGAAAAGAACTCCCAAGCCACGACAGGGGTAAACATTATTGCATCATTGCCCACGCTTGCCAGGTGAAAAATAAAGGCACCAACAACACTGCATCGTCCCAAAAAACCCACCACCCACAAATCATCCTATGGAAACATTGTTTACTAGCTGCGGCATATAAGATTGTGATTGGATTTTAGACAATAGAAGACTGCAAAGATGACCTCAATATATGGAGGAAAGGAACCCTCATGCTGAACAACAGCTACAAGGATCCCGGAAAGCGACATGTACTGAAACCAAGCACACCACGTCGCTGCGAAAATGTGTTGTTTTTTACAGGAAAGCATCCTTCTCGAGCAGCTCTAGTACCTCGTGCTGGTTGTTCAGCTTTGCGACATCAATAGGAGTCTTGCCATCCATGTTCTGCAGGGTTCTGTAGTGACGAAGAGCGCAATAAGGGACATATAAGGGCAGATTAATGGCCATGAAGTACATAATAATATTTGACGGGGTAGTTGGACTTACACAGCAGCACCATTCTTCAACAGAAGTTTCACGCACTCTTTCCTCCCATAGCCAGCCGCATAGTGGAGAGCAGTGTTTTTGTTCTTATCCAGAGCATCCACTCCCGCTCCTGCTTTAAGGAGGACCAGAGCACACTCATCCTGCATATCGCATAAATTAATGAACCTCAACATCTATTTCAAAATTTTAGTTAGTCAAGTCTGACAAAAAGAAGTCCTCAGAACACCTCCGGTTTGATTTAAACCAAACCAAATAGGGTTTAGAACCAAACAGAAGCAATGGAAACGGTTCCACCCAAACTGAACTGATTTGGAGGAGTAACCCAAACCACGTCAAAAGAGTGGATTCGAGGGTGAAACTGGGCTAAATTGCTTTGAGATTGTTGGCACCATACCTGGAGCTGTAACTAAACACTCCAAGAGGTACAGACCGTGTAAATCCTTTCGGATCAATTTTATGGCTTGTCAAAGCCAATGTATGCAGATTTCTGCCACGGGCTCACTTTTCCAACATTATCTGACCATTCTAAAGACTATTCAACAATTCACACCAAAAACAAAAAGAAAAAACCAAATAGAATAGGCAGCCCAGTTTATTCTTAAAGAAAATTGAGACTGAACTGAACTGCCAAAAAAGGTATTGTCCAAAACACCACTTGCACCAACAGAACCGAAAGAACCAAACAGACCCAAAAATTCGGTACATCAGTATAAACCCTTTTTTTGCTCATACCTCTCCATATCCACATGCGAAATGCAACGCTGTTCTTCCTTCAGTATCTACTTCATCCTTATCAGCACCAGAAGCAAGTGCTTTCTTCAAACCCTGGTGCAAAATAAAGTCTTTCAGTTTCTGCACATAAAATGAAAAGAGATGTGTCCTGCAGGTGAACCATCTCTTGGGAAAACAATGATAAGGCAACTTCCATAGATGCCATACCTCCACATCACCAGCACTAGCAGTTTGGTGAACTATAGGCTCATCCTCATTTCCTGAATCATCTTCTTCGTCTGGAACAGAACTTTGAGCAGAAGTTGCTGCTTCTCCCGTAACCGCGAGACCCATTGCTTCACCCAGCTTCTGCAGAACATCTTTATCGTTCCAGTACCTAAAGCAACACATATGGACAAAAGTTAATACAGCAGCAGTTTTCTCCACGACTTAAATTGGATAGCCAAAACATAAAAGTTTCAGCAGTGGTGACCTCATCATGGCAGGAGGACCCCCCTTCTCTATTTCTTCCAAAATATGCTTCAAGGATGGATCGTCCTTGATGCGTGCCATCCGTTCCTCAATTTGCTCTTTTTGTGCTGGATTCGAAAAATTCTCAAGCATGCTAGACATGGCAGGATCCTAAGAAATAAAAAGAATATTGATATCCACCTTTCCTTCCTGACATTCTTTATAAGGACCACACAGTAGAGCTTAAGCACAATGTACCTGCATCAGTACAGTACCAAGCCGCTCGGCCATGGACATGAAGTCGGGATTATCCATGACTTGTTGGATGGTGGACATGTACTGTTGACTATCAAACTGAGGAACACCATCATCTTCAGCTACACCTTGAAAAGTCTTCTGAAGCTGCTCTGCCATTTGGTTAAATGCAGGGTCCTTTGCTATCTGTTCAGCTAAATCCTTGATGCTAGGATCCTACACAAAATCATGCTAATAATCATCAATAGCATTTTATAAAGAAAACCTCTACATAACAGAGCGGCAAGTTTTGCAAATCAAACAGTGAAAAAGGAGATCAAGCAACTCGACACATCAGGGAAGAAGGAAAAGTGAATCTGGGCAATACCCATAGATGGTGTTGTTTAGTCTAAAATCATCAAGCGGACACTTCAATTGTTGACATCACATTGAAGTAACAATTCCAAGATAACTACAGCAGCATCTATTTTGATCGTACGCGACTTATACATCACAGAAATTGATATCATTTATAAAAGTAGCCTGATCACCATAGGTTAGACAAATATTGAGTGAAAGTACCAAATACATACATTGAGCAGGCTGGACATAGATGAGAAGTCAAATGGATTGGCTGCACCAAAATCAACTCCTGGCAGAGGAGAAGCCACGCCTTGACCTGATTGTGCCTGCCCCTCAGACGACTCAGATGCAGAAGGCTTATTTGCTTTGACTTCAACCTTCTCATCTAGATGAAGAAAAGGAATGCATGAATTTATCATACAACACACTCGCTCTTACAATTAAAGTCAAACACAATAAGAAGTAGGGCACCCCAATTTACATGATAAGAAACGAAACTTCACATTAAGCACCATATGCACCTTTCCCGACACTTGTATAAATTTCAGATGCTCAACTTTTATTGAGACAGTTCCTTAAGGAGATAGGCTTTATCCTCAGTTGGACCAGAGAGTTAACGGAAGCTTTAGACCAGTGAAGCACTTTTGTGAAATCTATTTACATCATCAGCATGTTCCTCCTATTAGAATCAGCATTCTTCATGACAAACTTAACCAGATTAACATCAGGCAATGAATAAAACAACAAAATCGACACACCCGCGCTCGCGCACGAGTGCCTGCACACACACACATATATGAGCACAAGCTGGTGCGCACATTCATCGCGCACATCCAAGACATTCATTTCGTCACACCCAAAGCTGCCAGTCCTACCAAAACCGTCCATTAACCATGAAACCAAAGCAGCTCGGTCAGAAGCCATATGCCAAAGCTAACAATGATCCCATAGCACCCTGTCTCAATTAAGGCTGGGCGCCCAGGTTCGCCGCAAGCGAAAAAACAAAAAACTAACAGAGCACCATGCCCGAGCCAAACACCGCAAGACCTCACGCGGCAAGCTCAATTGCCTTCGGGATTCGGCACCGAACTCCGCCCAAATCATATGCCCTCCGCACACGGCACACGAAGGCCTCCCCGATCCCATACCTTGAGAAGGGACAACGCAAACGCAAACGCAAACGCAAACGCAAACGCAAACGCAAGCGCAAACAAATCCCCACCGCCAATCGGAGAAACCACCGATCCGATCACCAAACGCAGCAACAACAAAAGCCGACGCTCTCGCGGCGGAGCGAGACAATACACCATCGACGACCGAAACCGAAGTCAAACCGAAGGAAAAAGAAGAAAATGAAAGAGCGCGAAGCAAATCGAGAAGGCTCACCGGAAGGAGCGTCCTTGACCGGATTCGAAGCCATTGCCTGCAAAAAAAAAATCAAGCTCGAGCGGGTCAACAGAAGATGACGAATCGCGGAAAGAGAGGGCTTCGAAATCGCCGGAAAACGGAGGAGGCGAGACGGAGAGAGGGGGGAAAAGGAATCGGAAGTACCTGACGAGCTGAAAGAACGAGGAGGAAACTTGACGAGGATTTGGATACGGAAGGGGGAAACGAATCCTCTCTCTCTCTCGCTTGCTCGCGAGATTGAATAAACCCTATCACCGAATCGATCGAACCCGCGAGAGGATTAACCTCCCACACGTCACCCCTCTTTTTTTTTTTTTAATTAATTAATATTAATGTTATTGTTTCGCGAAAAAAATAAATAATTTTTAAAATAATCGCTTATGTTATTAAAAAGAATTAATTAATAAAAAATATTTTCATGAACAACGACGATTTATATCTAAATAATTGGGCGAACGATTAAAATATCTTTCATTTTTATAAGTGTTATATATAACTATTTTTGAGATAATATTTTTTTAAATCATTTACTTCCGATTAAAACAAAGGAAGAGCTGCTGTTAAAACCGGATGGGATGGGACGTGCGTGTTGGGGAAGCCGATTCGCCGTTCCCAGGTTCCGAATCCGAACCTGAGGTAGCGGGTTAGCTTCGGTTCGGTGGGCCCCCCCCACCCCCCCAGTCAGTCATGTTGTTGTCTCCTTTCCCCATGTGATGAACGGCTCCCCCAGCTCCGGCGTATACCCATCGCCGGCTAATCTGGCGGCTCGTCGGCCCACTGAATGTAAGGGAGAAATTATTGGTTCTCTTATTTAATTCCATTTTCGTCCCTTTTGGTATTTATTTTCATCTATATACACAAAAAAGAAAAGGAAATACCGCTCTTTATCTCATTTTTAAATTTCCTAAATTATTCTTCATTTCTTTCTCTCCTACCCACCTAATCATCTCCTCTCACTATTAGATGTGCAGATTGACCTTCTGGAAATAAATGTTTTTTTTTCTCTCAAGAGAAACATTTGCAAAGCTTCTCATGGGCTATCACAAATTCGTGGGGAAATGACAATTGTCAACACCTTCCAAAAAGTTCTTTCAACCAATTTATCTGGATGATCTTGAACGAGGGCGAATACATATCAAGAAGTCACCTTTCTCCATCCTCAACCATGTATGGAAGCATCCTGATTAGCAGTAACATATATCGACACAATCGTCGTCATATGATGAGAGTTCCACAAGGAGCAGCCATCTCCTGGGCAATGGAACAGGGCGTGCAGTTCAGTAGACTTTTAGCAGTTATTACAGGTAAAGATAAACATCGACAATGAGATGTTCTACTCAAATTTCTTTCATCCTAGAGCAAATCCGCAGAAACTTCCGCATTCCGCCATGAATGCATACAATCGATCTTTCCGAAACAGAGAGCGCATCAGGAGCACATTGCTTTCTCCAATAGTTCCTGCAGCTCCCCGCTTTTGTATGCCTCTGCAGCAAAAGTGATTTAAATTGTAAAGGATAGAATTCATGATTAAACCATCAAAGATACCGGATACGTCATGACGTGCATAAATTTCAAGTCACCAATGATCTTCAATTCTTTTCCAAACCCAACCAACTATCAGTGGGCCAAGTTGAAAGATTAATCCTCACCGACATTCAACGTACGCGATTTACTACATGCAATTTGACACACATCTGCGTAAAATGCCACCACATCAGTCATAAAGAACCGCTTGCATTCTAAAATTAAGATTCATAGGTTAATACTAGAAACTTCATCCATAAACATTGTCGGTCAGAAATAAACAAATTCAATCCTACGAAATAATGAAAAATGTAGCCAAAGGAATGTTAAGCCTTGATAACACACCAGCCAATGAGACCATGTCTTTCCACTTAGCAGCCAAATTGATTAACTTCAGTTTTGTGCTTGGCTTAAGCGAAGTTTCCTTAACTTTTATGATCTCAAGACCATGAAAAGTTTGTATGTCAAGATACGGTAGAGCTAACTAGTCTATTTTGCAGTCCTTTTCTTTTCAGAAGAGGAGCCTCCCATGGAGAGCTCGCTGGATTTGGTCATGGTCAGTGAGGATGACTTGTGTGAAGCCGCTTCCCACAGCATCATCCCTTTACTGGGGTTCTTCTGTGCATCAATGAGACAATCCTATTACACCAGAGCTTTGAAAGAAGTTCAACCCACATTGCTTTCTCTTTTCTTTGCTCTTCTTCCTTCTACTTATTTCTCTCTCTCTCTCTCTCTCTCTCTCTCTCTCTCTCTCTCTCTCTCTCTCTCTCTCTCCTTAGACTCTGTACTTTGTCAACCAAACAACAACTAATGAAGGTTATAGTATGATGTCTTTCATGTGACAATCTAGAAGATAATTGGAATTTGAAATAATAGCACAAAAGGTCCCTGAACTTTAATCCAATGTGCAATGTCGTCTCTAAACTTTTAATTTGCGCAATGTGATGCATGAATTTTGATCCAATGTGCAATGTCGTCTCTAAACTTTAACACTTCAATGTGGTTCCTAAATTAGTTGTAAATGTTCGATGTAGTCCTTAGACTAAATGAAAATGTTTAAAAGTTTAGAGACCACATTGACTATTGGACCAAAATTCAGAAACCACATTAAACAAATTAAAAGTTCAGGGACGACATTTTACATTGGACCAAAGTCCAGAGACCATATGAAACAAATTAAAAGTTCAGGAACAACATTGCACATTAACCAAAGTTCGGAGACCATTTGTGTCATTTCCCTTGGAATTTCACATCAACATTTATCAAACGTCCAACAATAAAAACTTTCTTTCGGTTATGTCAGTCCTATTGTTCCTCTAGCACATATTAGTCGGTTGGTTAATTATAAACATTTGCTGATACATCAAGCTTCAAGTGGTATTATGTCATTTTCAAAAATAGTGAACTGCAGAAAAAAGGAAACCAGCAATTATACAACTACAGAAACATCTAGTGATAAAGAGTCCAAAGAATTACCATCAGGACGTTGCAAAGATCTTACACGAAAGTAGCGCAAGAAGTGTGTGAGTATGTTTTTTTTTATTTTTTATCTTTTTTTAGTGTGAGTATGTTAACAGCAAACAATTTAACAAATTTTCATAGGAACAGCTTAATGTAGTCAAATCATTTTTCTACTTGAACCATGTGACTAAACTTACCAATGGTGATGTCACACCCTCCAAAAAACTCTCCTTCGATATAAAGTTGAGGAAAGGTCGGCCAGCTGGAGTACTCCTTTAGTCCTTGACGGAGTAGTTCATTTTCAAGAATATTTATAGTCTCAAAAGGTACATTGAAGGACTTCAGTATTTGCACAACGGTGTTTGAAAACCCGCATTGAGGGAAATCCTTAGTTCCCTTCATGAACAAAACCACCTTATGTGAATTAACCACCGTATCCAGTGTACTCTTGAGCTGAGGAGTTAATACTGCATATACAGACACGAGCAAAAGGAGACATATCACACATTCGGTTTCCAAAAGAAAAGGATAGAAACAAAAGAAAAAGGCAAAAAAAAAAAAACACTTAACTACTCTGCTTCCCACAGGAACAAATTGGATGCAAGCCAATTTAGGATCGAGAAAAATTTTGTAAGGCATTATTAATTAGCCCAAGGACTTGGGATCTCCATAAATCATCACAACTCATGTGAATGCCATCTCATGATGATTTTCACATGGATAGAACTCCCTTAAACTTCTTTCATTATCAGAAAATACTAAAGAAGTGTAAATACAATTGACTCAAACTTATTGCAGCTTGCACCCTCCGCTCAGTTATGAACTGTATATATAATTGACACGTAGTTAATGAAGCTGACAATTTGCCCAAAATAAAGCGCCGGAGAAAGAAAGTTCACCGTTGTAGTCACCACTATTCCCCCTTTGAATAAATTAATGCCAAGCCCTCAAATATGACGGCAGCTTCCAGCCATCTAACCCAATGCCTAAGCCCTATTTCCAAGCACTACGATCGCTCTTTTTCCACCGTCATATGAACAAAATTGGATGAAGTAGAAATAATGTGCCTCTACATATTGAACAAATAGCATGGACTTCATTGGTGAACTGTGGCCCAGCATTCTTCAATGGAAAAATCCAATAAATTACAACATTAGTTGTTCTTCACATCCCATGCCATTTCTACAATCTAACATCTATGGCCCATTCAGCGCTTCGCAACTGCCAACAGCATGTTCTTGGCCAGGGCCGTTATTCCCTCTAAATTCTTTGTAATACTCTTTTTTCCCATTTCTTATGTTTTTCCCACTATTGACCTTCCCCTGAAACGAACAACAATTTGACACTCGTATACGTTGCGAAAACGCAGCATTTCTATAGAATGGCGCAAATCAATCATCGCTTAATCAAAACTAGAATGTCAGGAAACATCAGGAATCAGCACGGCTTTCAACACGTTGGCTCAGCTAAATTAAGAATCGACATCGCAAACCAAAACCCCATTCCCCAAAATCCTCTCCCACGCTCGATTCGATGCAAAACTATCCAATCATCGAGAACTGAAACGAAAAAAGGGGGAGCGACCGCGTCCCATACCAGAAGCGAAGCAGCGAAAGGTCCCGCGGGTCCTGGACCGGAGCACGGGCGCGGGGCTGCCCACGACGGTGAACGCGCGCGGCGAGAGAGACGACGGAGACGGGCAGCCGGGCAACTTGTCGGCCGGCAGCGGCAGCGACGCGGCCGCTCTCGGCGAGAACGACGGCGCCCTGGCGGAGGAGAAGGCGGCGGTTGGTGCGAGGGTCGTTGAAGGGAGAGAAGCCATCGCCAGACCCACCTTCCGATCGTCGTCGTCGTCGTCCTCCTCCTCCTTCAACTGGTTCCAGAATCTTCCGAGCTTTATACCCTCCACCACAAAAATCTAGTCTTGTCGGGGAGTGAAGCCGAAGCGTGTGCTCGCGCGAAGCAAAATTCCAGGAGGCCGCGAGGGAGGATTTAATCCGAATTTCGGAATAACCTGTTTTCATTTGCGTTCTTGGAAAAATTATTATTTAACGTAGCGGATATTATTTTTTTTCGGGGCCGGTGGCTATTTCCACGGCCTTCTTTGCTTTGGGCAGAGCTAAAGAAATAGTGATCGGACAATATTACCCCTGATCGACTTGAACTTGACTGTGAAACGATTGGATTAAGCAAAAATCCACTTAGTCCCGGTAGCAATAAGAATGGAGACGGTAGAAAAATAATTAATAATAAAAACAATCTCGTCAAATACATTGATAAAACCTACTAATAATGATCGTTTTTTAGGTTTGGTAAGATGTTAGTAACATTTAACTATGAATTCTCAATTATCGTCAATAAAATTTAGTTTATTTCAGCACTCAAGATTATCACTTTGCAATTTCGATCATTAAATTTTTTTCCGATATAAATAGAAAAAAGCGAGTTTTCGCAATTTTCGGTTAGCAATCTCTCCAAAAAAACAAGAAAGAAAAAATGGTGTTTTTCCCCCCGATATTTTTGAAGCACCAAAATGACAAAACTCCGAAATAGGAGCAGGAAAATATATACCGACAAATATGTTTTAGAGAGAGAGAGAGAGAAGCGATAGCAAAGACGACGGATACGTAAGCGTGGGCCCGGAGCAGTATTAGCTGGACATAGAAGAGGAAGAAGAAGACGACGACGACGACGACGACGAAACCCCTAGGGTAAGAAGAGCTTCGAGTCTCGAGCACGTTGAGCTCCGCGGCGGCACTCTGAAAACCCTAGCTCCCTCCTCGCATCCGATCGCTCCTACCTCGCAGGTATCCCCATCCCGGCACGCTGTTCATCGCGATTCTCCATAGCCGCATCTTCGCTCGCTTGTCTGAATCCGTCGATTCTCGCATTCGCACGCCATTTCCTTCGTGTGTTTTTCTGGGCTTCTGTTTGGTTCGCGCTTGCTACTTTAAGCTTCATCTTGGCCTTTTGACTCGATTTGTTGGTTTCCGGAGCTTGGATCTTGATTTTGCTTCTTTCGTTGGATCGGCGGTGACGGTGTTTGCCGACGCCGCCATTTCTGTCTAGTGTTGTCATCTCGTCGCTGTGCTAGGGCGGTCTTCTGCATTTGGATTCTCGGTTCATCGAAGTTCAGTTGACTTCTGGATTCAATCGCTTACGCTCTGGGGGGACTTCTAAGTCGGTGCTTGGTTTGCGTGATTCGATCCGGTTCCGGGGTCTAGGATCGCGTTAGCTGGAGAGACAACTTGATGTGTTAGGCTTGTTTTTTACGGATCTCCGTCGCTTCTCTGTTGTTGTGCTGGGTAAATCCCGGCTTGAAATGGCTGTGCAAATTTGATGGACTGCTGACCTCTGATGGAAAATTCGTAATTAAGTCGATTCAATCGAGATGATCGAATATAAGATGCTTACATCTTTTTTATAAGCTAAATGATTTTGTTACAAGAACGGAAAAGGAGTCTAATCTAGACAAAGTACATGTAGATCATAATCGATTCAATGTGACCAGAACAGATTGGAGAGAAGATTCAGATCCTTCAAAAAGTTGTTTGTTTCGTTCCTTCCAAATGCTAAAGTGAAGTGCTCATTGACATGTATAACTTTTTTTCTGCTGGTTTTTTGGGGACCTGGCTGCAAATTAGGTTCTTAATATTATATTTTGTTATATAACATTAGATGTAATACTCTAGGCCATCTTCCATTTATGCAGATCTTATCTGCAGAATAGGCGTTAACTCTGCTTCATTATTGTTGTCGTGTTTCGTTGAGGAGATCCACGGTTCATGCAGTTGCAGGGTTTTCCAATTGCTGCTTATGCACAAGAAGTGTTGTGACTTTAATGGGTGAAGAAGATTACTGCACATATTAGCTTGCCACTTACTTCCGCGATACATCACTATAGACGTGTTCTTTTGGTGATGATTCAATATAAAAGATAATATATGTATGCTCCTTTTTCTTCAAACTTTTCTTCTGGGATGGCGGATTTGACTTTAGATCCATATCACTTGCCATCATACTGTTTGAACTAGTGGCCTATCTTCTGGAAAGGCTCTTCCTTAATGTCTTACACATGGTAACTTTTGCATCTGCTTAGTGAACCTCGACTGCTTGTTTTCACTTGACCCCATGAGAGGACATACAATAGATAACTTGCGGCTATATTATTTCAACTATTTTACCAGTTGTTATATTTCAGATATTCTACCATTTTCAATCCATTTCATGATTTAACCACTGAAATTAAATAGGTATTCCTTTTTATGATAATTGCCATGTTACAAAAAGGTTTGGTATTTCTTCAGTGCCAAAATGAGCTATCTCTTCATATTTCATGACGCACAAGTTGTCTTTGGATAGATACATGTTAGGCTTTGTGTTCAATATAACTTGTTCAGAATACTGATTGTTTAGGGCTTTTCAGATCAAGATTTTTCCCCTTTTCTTGAGATTTGTACTCGATGTGGTGCTCCGTTTTCTCTTTCCTATTGTATGATCAACAAGAATCCTGAATTTGACGTGTTTGTTGCTCTCTACTAATCTCATGCAGTTACAGTGCTGTCCCATTGTATCTATCTTGACCAGCAATGGCGGACGGTGAGTCAGACAAGAATATTGAAATCTGGAAGATCAAGAAACTGATCAAGGCCTTAGAATCTGCCAGAGGCAATGGTACCAGCATGATATCTCTTATAATGCCTCCACGTGATCAAATATCCCGAGTAACTAAGATGTTAGGTGATGAATTTGGAACTGCTTCAAACATTAAGAGTAGAGTCAATAGGCAGTCGGTGTTAGGTGCCATTACATCTGCCCAACAAAGGCTGAAGCTGTATAACAAAGTTCCTCCTAACGGTCTGGTGCTTTACACCGGAACAATCGTAACTGAAGACGGCAAGGAAAAGAAGGTGACGATTGACTTTGAGCCTTTTAAGCCTATAAATGCATCATTATACCTCTGTGACAACAAGTTCCACACTGAAGCTTTGAATGAACTCTTGGAGTCTGATGATAAGTTTGGGTTTATTGTCATGGATGGTAATGGAACTTTATTTGGAACATTGAGTGGGAACACTAGGGAGGTACTTCATAAGTTTACAGTGGACCTACCGAAAAAGCATGGAAGAGGAGGGCAGTCAGCTCTTCGTTTTGCTCGTCTTCGGATGGAGAAACGGCACAATTATGTAAGGAAGACGGCAGAACTTGCCACGCAGTTTTTCATCAATCCTGCCACCAGTCAACCGAACGTTGCTGGGCTAATACTTGCTGGTTCTGCCGATTTCAAGACTGAGCTTAGCCAGTCAGATATGTTTGATCCTCGTCTGCAAGCCAAGATTTTGAATGTTGTTGATGTTTCCTATGGCGGAGAAAATGGTTTCAATCAAGCCATAGAGCTTTCTGCAGAGATTCTGTCAAATGTAAAGTTCATACAGGAGAAACGTTTGATTGGGAAGTACTTTGAGGAGATTAGTCAGGACACCGGAAAATATGTCTTTGGTGTAGATGACACTTTGAAGGCGCTGGAGATGGGTGCTGTGGAAACCCTGATTGTCTGGGAAAACCTGGATATTAACAGGTATGTGCTCAAAAACAGCACGACAGGTGAAATCATCATCAAGCACCTGAACAAGGACCAAGAAGCCGATCAGAGTAACTTCCGCGATGCAGTCACCTCGGCGGAGCTGGAAGTTCAGGAGAAAATGGCATTGCTTGAGTGGTTTGCCAATGAATACAAGAAATATGGTTGCACTCTTGAGTTTGTCACCAACAAATCCCAGGAGGGATCGCAATTTTGCAGAGGATTTGGTGGGATTGGCGGCATCCTTCGCTACCAGCTTGACATAAGATCCTTTGACGACTTATCTGATGATGGAGAGGTTTATGAGGACTCTGACTGAAGTGAAGGGTGAACTTTTGCTGTGACGGGCTGCTATATATGATTGGCAATGGTAAGTGCAGGATTCTGGGAAGCTACTGATTGACATGACCACAAATTCTCTGGCTAGCCCCTCACCACTTTGATTCGAGATCACTCCGACCCTCGGCTTGCGCCCCTCATCCGCTTTCTTTTTGTCATGTATTGCCTGCAACTTAAAACTTCGAAATGTGATTTTCGGGTGTGGACCCAAAAACAGGACAGATGAATGGATTTTACTTGTGAAAAGGATTGAGCATTTCATTCCGTCATTGCCCGATTGCATTTCGAATTACTCGAAAATAGATGACAAAGATGTGGTGAGGCCGTGGGTCCTTATATTTAAGGATGTTTCAGGATTCTTCTCTTGCAGGGAGTTGTTTCACCATCAACTTCAGCTGGTGACGGTTGCTTCTTGGTCATCGAGACGGTATACCTGCACACGGGTCGATTCGATTCGATTATAGCTCCATGCTCAAACCTTTTCCATTGTTATGTTCTCTCGATGGTGGTAGCATGCACGACATTACCCGTCTCCTTTTCTCATCTCTCTTGCAATCGAGATTTGCAGTAAGAATAATCCAAAGTCCCGATGCAAATGTTTGCATTTATAAAGCACCCACACAGCTCCATTGCTAACGAGTCAGAAATCTTGACCCGAATCAACCTCAGAGAAGGCCTATGCAATCGAGCGAGCCAAGAATAAATACACAAATTCAGTGAAGCAAAGAAGATAACGAACGCAAAGATCGATTATTATTGATATTTTTCAATCCAGCGCTATTAAGCCAAAACTAAATATAAAAGAGAAATTAATTGTAATAACAAAATTCAACGATTCTCAAATTTAACTATCATTTATAAGTCGACACCTAAAATGTTCTTTCAATCGAATTTAACTAACTGTAGAGGAATTGGGCTTTTCGATTCCACGTTATTCACGCCCATCAATTATGACATCCCCTTCCGTGTTTCCCTCTTTCGGTGTAATTACATCCATGCCACTTATCCCTTTGACATTTTGACCCTCTCCGATCTTATCCTCCTCCTACCCTGCAGGACGGCAGGAGTCTCTTTCTCTCTCCTCTCCTCTGCTCAAAAACCCTATCCCAGAAAACCTCACCATCATCGCTCGCAGAGCTCCGAATCGGATCCGGATCCGACAGGGAAGGGGAACAGTACAGATGGGGGCGAGCAGCGACCCGAACCCGGACGCCTCCGACGAGCACCAGAAGCGGTCGGAGATCTACACGTACGAGGCCCCCTGGCACATCTACGCCATGAACTGGAGCGTCCGCCGCGACAAGAAGTACCGCCTCGCCATCGCCAGCCTCCTCGACCACCCCACCGCCGTCACCAACCGCGTCGAGATCGTCCAGCTCGACGACTCCACCGGCGAGATCCGCGCCGACCCCAACCTCTCTTTCGACCACCCCTACCCGCCCACCAAGGCCGCCTTCGTCCCCGACAAGGACTGCCAGCGCGCCGACCTCCTCGCCACCTCCTCCGACTTCCTCCGCATCTGGCGCGTCGCCGACGACTCCTCCCGCGTCGAGCTCCGCTCCTTCCTCAACGGCAACAAGAACAGCGAGTTCTGCCGCCCCCTCACCTCCTTCGACTGGAACGAGGCCGAGCCCAAGCGCATCGGCACCTCCAGCATCGACACCACCTGCACCATCTGGGACATCGAGCGCGAGACCGTCGACACCCAGCTCATCGCCCACGACAAGGAGGTCTACGACATCGCCTGGGGCGGCGTCAGCGTCTTCGCCTCCGTCTCCGCCGACGGCTCCGTCCGCGTCTTCGACCTCCGCGACAAGGAGCACTCCACCATCATCTACGAGAGCTCCGAGCCCGACACCCCGCTCGTGCGGCTCGGCTGGAACAAGCAGGACCCCCGCTACATGGCCACCATCATCATGGACAGCGCCAAGGTCGTGGTGCTCGACATCCGCTACCCTACCATGCCCGTCGTCGAGCTGCAGAGGCACCAGGCGAGCGTCAACGCCATCGCCTGGGCGCCGCACAGCTCCTGTCACATTTGCACGGCTGGGGACGACTCGCAGGCGCTCATCTGGGACCTGTCGTCGATGGCGCAGCCCGTGGAGGGTGGCCTGGACCCGATTCTGGCCTACACGGCAGGGGCGGAGATCGAGCAGTTGCAGTGGTCGTCCTCGCAGCCTGATTGGGTTGCGATCGCCTTCTCTTCGAAGCTTCAGATACTTAGGGTGTAATGATTAGTGAGTAATCCTTCACTGAGGTAGTGTAATTTAATTGGATGGGATAGTTCATATGTGTAGTGGGACTTAGAAAGTGACTTGTTGGTGCCCCATTCATTCGACTTGAGTGACTGGTGAAACTGTGGTTACCGATGGCTGTTGATGGTAAATGTGATCATTGCTGTTTCGGACATGTTTGCGCAGCGAAATGCGTCTGACCTTTAATGTTTCGAGTTTTCATGGGCTGCCAAATAACGGGTTTCACACACCAATCAACATGTCAAAATGAAAGAGTGCCTATTTCTTGTGATCCTATATATTGGAGATCGATTTGAATAGGACTTTTGCATTTTGAGTTGATCGTAGTTTTGATTGCTGGTGGTCTGGTATGATCATCTTCTTCTGATGTAAGCCTTGCCTATGTGACGTGATGATGAGCTGACCTGGCATTGCATCTATGTATTTTTTGTGATCCTATATATTGGAGATCAATTTGGAAATTCTGACCTGGCATTGCATCTATGTAACGCGATGAGCCGAGGTTCTTATTCTAATGTTGCATACTATCATGCACATGTTTGATGGTATAAAATGTGCAGCTTTATGAGATCATAATGAAGGGAATTTGAATGTTGATGTTAGGTCGTTGCTGTATGTAACTATATGGGGTTTTCTGTTATGTTTTTTTTTTTCCTGTAGGTGTTAACTCCTCTTTTCCTTAGCAATAGCATCAGACTCTTCTGTTTTTCCTGTTTAATATGTAAATAAAATGAAGCCCCTTTCTTCTTTTCTGGAGACTCAATTATTAAGAATTCCATTTTGAAAATTGAGGTGACTGAGGAATTTTCATTAGGTGTTGTTTGACTTTGGTTTACCCTTAAGTGAGCTTGCCTTTGAAATATTTTGCTCGTCTTGTCTGCTCAGTTAAAATGTGAAGAAGAATGCAAGTATGGGATCCGTTTTTTGCTGAATGAGCAAGGAGACAGTTGACTTTTCATCTTTACCAAAAAAAAAAGACAGTTGACTTTTCATGCACTACTCATCTCATGCATAGATCCGAGAAAATAATTCATCTAGAGCTTTAGGTCAATTGCCATAAGCTAGAGAGACTGAGGTGGTATGGGGAGAGTTTTGATGTGAGTAATCAGTAATATCTTTTCACGGTGATGTTGTTGGTAGAAGTCTAATATAGTTAGAGAACACCCATTGCTTCTTTCATCCTGCATTTTTTTCACCTCATGGTTCATTGATTTATGTTCTTATCTTGTATTTCTGGACATGTGTGGCTGTGATGAGCTGAATATACTGTCTCAGAAATATTGTCCCTGGATTGAGATTCTTGAACATATTAAAACACTGCACATTGATCATATCAATAATTGGGTCAGGATCTCATGAAGATCCTAACAGAATAAGATTCTGATTGCACTTTCAAATTGTTTTCTACTGCAGGGCCACAAGGTTGGATCTCTTGCCATAGACCATTTTTTGAGCCCTGCTTTGCTCAAAGTTAGGTTAGGTGTTGGGGGTTAATATTCCTCCCTAGTACCTGATCAGTATTAGTCAGGGATCGCTCTCTCGGCACACAGATTCTCTTCTTAGGCCACTCGTGATCCTGAATTTTACGTGCTTCTCTTGTGAAGCACAGCCGCAATGTAAACATCTTTCGTTATATATACTTTTATTGGACCATTTCTTACTTGTCTGCACCATTTTTTGGGGTTTATAGTATGGATGGCTTGATTCTAAACGAGACAGCAAATGGCTATTTCAGATGTTGGGGAATCGTTGGTGATATTACTTGCATTCATCCGAGTTTCTCTCAGAAAGTTTTTCTTAACCCCTAAGTAGGAATTAAGAGAAATGGACATGTAATTCTAGACTTCTAGTTCTAGTTCTAGTTCTAATAGAAGTCCTATTTAGAACCGGTCCAGTTCTGTTCCCTTCTCTAGTGAAAATGGGCTCTCCAATCGGATTTTGCTGTTTTAGGATCACGAACTCAATCCACTATTTCAGCCAAAATTTCAAAAGGAACTCTTCTCGTTGAAGCTGGTCAGGCATCTACTGTAGAAAAAGCCCAATCGGTCTCTGCACGCAAACTGCCTCAAAGATGCCTGCCCGCACTTGCAGCGACTAACGATCCCAATTAGTCCTTCCAAAGTGGGAACTCCCCAACCACAGCTTTTGAGATTCACTACAATTGCCATTATAGTATTAATCCTCTCTCTCTCTCTCTGTCTCCATATTTATTGAAAAGTTCTTCTGCGTGGAGTACAATTCCTAGTGATAGTACCTTAAAATTGAAGCGAGAGTTAGATCTTTTGCCTGCTTTGCCCGCTAGCACCTGCCTACAATCTCATCTCTCAGTGGACTCTCCCGGCATATGAACGGTTGATGGCTCAATTTCGAGTCAAAGTCAACTCCCTACCTTTTCTTTCTGGGTTCAAAGATCTGGCCTAGGAGGGTCTCACTTTCTCTGTCTCTCTTTCCTCGCTTTCTCTCAACTATGAGCGAGCAATCTCTTCTCTACGACGCTGACATCCACTGATCCCAAGTACCACCATAGAGTGAAAAGGATGTTGTGATATACACTAAGTAAGCAGACATAAACTTGATCAAAGAGCTGGCAAGATGAGGTCGGGCCTGCCTGTGGAAAAATACACGCTCGGCCATCGCTCGGCATCAGGCATATACAGCCTTGTTCAAATTCGTTCATGAATAGAAAACATTGAAAATTTCTGTGTGAAGTTGGTTGAGTCCGGTGGGCAGCGCCGTTGGTGTAGGCGCTCCCATTTCATCAAAGCAATTAATGAAGTTGAGCCCAAAAACATTGCCCACAGCCACGCCAACTAAAAATGTCCACATGAATCAAGATGTCGAGTAAAAACAAAGTAGAGATCTACCCTGAAGATGACAACTTGAACTTCTCTTGGAGCCTTAACCCGCTTAAAACGTACTGCGTCATCACGAGTTATATCATAGGATGCACTCACAAGATGTGAAGGCTATGTGGCATGCACAACTCATTCAATTTGATGGAAACCATGGCTTGATATAGCGGTAGCAAGAGTAGCGGCGTCACGACCTTCAACATCGCGTTGAACACATAGCATGTCGATTTGTGCGCTAGGAACGTCGATAGCAACGTGGTGATGTTACATATGACACCCCGACTTCTACCTGGATGTTGGTTTGTACTTCGTAGCACCGCTCGAGTACTTCTTTCTAAAGCTCGACATGTGCTATGGTCCTTACTTCATCATGATTTACGGATTACCTACTCAAGGTTGGAGAGAGATTTGTTACCTACAAACTTTTTAATGGCCAGCCACTTTAGTCTATGATCTTGATTTATTTGCTAACTAAGTAGCAGTGTGAATTTTGTGATGATGATCATGGAGTGAAAGCGAAGTTTGTATCAGTTGTGGTAGCCGAAGAGTAGCATGCTAATTGGATAATTGTGTATACAACTTCAGAAGGAAAAGAAAGCACAATCTGGACTACAAAAAAAACTAGTTTTGCTCTCTTCTTAAAGTGACTGTCATCCAGGCAGGAACTCCTCGTACAGAAGAAATTATCTCTCTTCTGAACTCATCCCTGTGATAATATCTGTCTTTCTCACATCACATGGCATCCCACCGTGTTATCATCATTGAAGTAGTCTCCAACCGGGGCCAATGGCATCTGATATTCCATCTGTACCGGTCGCCTCTCATAGGAGTAATACTCTGGGCCATAACTTGTGGTAGGCAAAGGAGCCATATACGAGCATACCGCGTAACGTGGGATGCCCATAGGATGAGGCTCGACCAAGTAAAAGCATTGGGTCTTAGGATCACCTTGCACAATGGCTGGAATGCCTGAAATTGGATACATGACATTATTGGACTCGGGTGGCCTCGAAGGAAGAGGAGCGTCGGTTTTAATAGCCTCAGTGTTTGCAGAACTCTTGTTGTTGTTGTTGCTGTTGGTGGTGTTGTTTTTGTTGTTGTCTGTTTCCTTGTTCTTCTTTGAAGCTTTATCTTTGCCTTCATCTGTAGAGGGGATTGCCTCATTGGTTTTTTCTTTCGGTTTATCATTCGATTCCGAGCACTTCGCCGGCTCTGACCCGGTTTTGGGAGTTTCCTTCTCCTTTTTGTCTCTGTCATCATTCTTGTTCTCGCGAGTCCAAACTTCTGCTTGTTTTCCGACTCGAGCTAGCTTCTTGATCAGTATACGGGGATCCACGTTTCCTAGGACTGTGACCTTCGGCTGCGAAGGATTGATTTCCGTCTTCAAAACGCCTGAAACTTAAGCGTGTTACTCCACATATCTAGAGGGCATGACAGGGCCTAGAGTCATTGCGAATCCCGACTTAATTACCTTCGACTCTTTGCAAAGCCTTCTTGACCTTCTTCTTGCAGCCATCACAGCAGTCAACAGACACCTTCAGCTCGATCTTCTACAACAGGTGAACATTCAAACTTTCCACTCAGACCATCATAACTAAATGCGTCAGAACAAGGAGGACGGCGACATGCAAGAACTCAAGAAACAGTAACAAGAAACGTTGAAGTTTCGAGCTTATCACCTTGAGTTCGGCTTCCTTGGCCATGCCCGCTGACTTCTCGCACCGGTCTGTCACGGAAGTCGAAAAGCCGAAGCACCCCAGTTTTACAAAGGAGTTTCTGCTCTGTTCTGTCCTGTTCTGAGTACCTACTTGTCAGTTGGGTTGCTCCCTATTTATAAGCATAGGAAGGTGTGGGGTCGATGAGCTTTGGAATAAGATGGTGCTTCGTTTTATTAGCCTTTGCTTTTTGCTATATTATTTTGTGTGTGTAGCTTATGGTTCCAACTCTAAAGTTCCCATTAAAGGACTAGCTTTCTATGCAAGCAAATTATAGGCAACCTCCTCTGCTGCCTCCTCCTTTCGAAAATGCTCAACCTCCCCTTGTCGACCACACTACATGTAACCGCGTCTTGCCATTGCACGCAAATGACAAGTTTCTAGCTTATCTTGCCCACTCGGTTCGTTAGGGGTGTGGTTCGTATTCCCCATCAACAGAAAAGCACGAGGGTCCTACTCCCGTGGGGGTCTGGGGGCTGCCCAATGGGGGTCGGAGGGGCAATGCCCCTGTGACGCCATATAACTTTTATAATTTGAGCTTGTATTTTAATTAGTAGTTTAGACTTGAGCCCATGAATAGCTACTGAGTACATATAATTCTTTTATCTTGTAATCGAGGGATATAATTGAGAGATGGGGGGTGCTAAATATAATGAAATCGTCTTTTGGACGTAACCCTAGTTTAAGGGTGAATCAAGATAAAATTTCGTGTTTCGATTTTTCTTCATCACTTTTATTTTCTATTTCGTTGTGTGTATGCAACTAATTCTAACACGGTTAAAGAATTTTATTAGTAATAACTTCATGGCCAGCTTAGCTCATGTTCTTGAATCGGCTCCGTGAGCGGTGATCGAGTTTGGGCTCGAAGTCTTGATAAGAACTCAGGTTCGAGCTTGTGGGAGTGTAGAGTGTAGAGCACTAATCGATATGTTGTTATGTCCAGGGGATTGACTCTGCTCTTTTGAGATTTGAGAACCCAGATTTCTATAATTCTCAAACTTTTTCACGATGAACTGATTTTGCAAAAGGGATAATGACACAAATGGTCCTTGAATTTTGATCTATTATGTAATGTGGTCTCTGAACTTTTAATTTTTTTTAATATGATCCATGAACTTTATTCCAATGTGCAATGTTGTTCCTGAACTTTTAATTTGTTCAATGCAGTCCCTAACTTTTGGTTTATGTTCAATCAAATCCATGAACTATATAAAAATGTTCAATGTTATCCCTAAACTTGAATTATTGGAAGGATGATATTGAACATTTTCATATAGTTTAGCAACTAAATTGTACCAAAATTTTAGGAATTATATTAAACAGATTTAAAGTTAAGAGAGACATTGCACATTGAGATAAAGTTTTGGAACCACATTGAACAAATTAAAAGTTTATGGACCATTTGTATCATTTTCCCTTTACAAACGTAAAGTTACGTATTTTTCCATTTTTTCAAGGAAGTTCTTGATATTGAAATTTGAATGAGCTTTAGCTACTTGTATTTGGTTGACCAAAGATACCTTTCCTGTTTCCTTTTAGCTACTTGCATTATAGCTGCAGCTCATTCGTTGCCTTATTAGCTGCATACTCGATCTTGAAATTTGAATGATCTTTAGCTACTTGCATTTGGCAGGCCATAAGATACCTTTCCTTTTTTTTTCCTTTTAGCTACTTGCATTATAGCTGCGGCTCATTTGCAGTCTTGTTAGCTGCATAATTCCTTTCCTTTATATGGTTTTTATATCTAAAAAGAACGAGGCATACAACTAGATACAATAATTGACGTACGATGATGCAAATTATGATTATTGGTACTAAGAGTTCTGTCCATTGTTCTCATGTATCTTTATTCTGTATTGATTGGGTTGGCTTTGTAATGACAAGAAGGATCCCACATCCAGTTTTGCTGATTTCCAAAGCTTGGTTTCTTGCTTAAAACTCTTAGGGCAAATATCACAAAAACCCCAAACTATATTTACTATGAAACAAATATCTCAAACTTTTTTGCATCATCAAAAACCCTACACATGCCCGCTGTGACACAAATACCCCAACTTTTTTGTATCATAAAAAAAACCCATATTTGTACATGCGTGACATATATACCCTCTATTTCAGTTCCATCCAGGGTACATTTATCACACTAGTATAAGTTCGGGATTTTTTATGACATAAAAAAAATTGGGGTATTTGTATCACAATGGGTAAGTTTAGGGTTTTTAGTGACATAAAAAAAGTTCGAGATATTTGTGTCACAGTGGGCATACTATAGGGTTTTTTGCGGTATTAACCGATACTTTTAAAATCATTAGTGTCTGAATAAGTTGTGGACCTCTTTCTTACACCACTAAGTAGCAACATTTTCCCCCCGAACCAACACATGGATAAAACACTCATACGAATGCAAAATAACACTCCGAAAAAAGGGTCAATCAAATGAGGCGTTCCACGACTCGTTTAAGTAGCATGGTCTCTATGGTATCGATCGGTAACAACTGATGTCAAAAAGACGAACTGGCCTGCATAACTTCTCCAGTAACTGCATGAACTCCTCGTCTGCATCTAGTCTCCGTTCACGAGTTCCTATTGGCTGGTTGACTTACGTAGTAGAACCAAGGGTTTGACCCTGCGCATTCAAAAGATACCAGCAAATTGCAGGGCAAATTCCTCGTTTGATGTGAGTTTCCAAAGTGAGATTAGTCAAGCCCAATCACCGTTAACTTAAAAAAAAAAAGCAAATTTAGTGAACAAAAACTGAACTTGCAAGAGAAAAGAGAGCCGGACACGTGGATGCATATTGACATATAAGCTATTATATTCAAATGCAAAGAAAGAGAGAGAGAGAAAGAACAGATGCAATCTCGTAGTTCTTGGATTTGTTTATTAACCAAGAAATGCATGGGAGCTTTTCTTGATTCCACCCAGCTATAAGACGCAGAACGTGGGGGGCGCGATGCTCTTGGCTTACTATATTAGATCAGCCCCTTGATGAGTCATTGAGGCTGCAAGATTGCTCTTCAGTTGTAGGGTTTTTTAGGGTTTCTTGATTGGGTTAATCTGTGGCTAATCCCTTCGTCATGATTTATGGCCCCGCTTTCGATGTATTTCCATTCAAATTTAAACTTTAGTACCTCGGATTTGTTGGGTCCTTTCACTAGCAAAGAGGCGCGGAGGTACGAACAATTAATGATGCGTTTTTGATTTTGTTTTCGACGCTGATTAATCCGAGCTTTGTTGCTAATTTTGTGACCGTTAGTTGGTCTTCGAGATAGGTTTGAACCATCTGTCATTCGATTAAGTTTAAGAATATTCGACCACGTACGGTTGGAGTGGTTATTAACCCACCAAATTATGGGGCTGAGAAATTAGCTTAAGATGCGGCGAATAGAGGCCGGGACGACCAGGGGCCATGAGATTCTTTTGGAGAGTCAATTCCTCAAAAATTGCTTCTATGAACACATTCTACGCAAATCAATCTTATTTGTCTATTTAAGATCCTTAAATGGTACCCTTTACCTTAGGCCAATTAATTATCCTAATTAGCCCACGGGTCGGCGCAAATCTCGGCATATAAGGGGAAAATTATCCAAAAAGTCCTAAATCTATTGTATGGCGGCTAATTCAGTCCTAAACCTTTCAATTTTGCCAATTCAGTCCTAAACCTTTTAAAAAGTTACCAATTCAGTCCTAAACCTTTCAATCGTGTCAATTTAGTCCTAAACCTATTGACTATTTGTCAATTTAGTCTTAAACCTTTTAACGAATTGCTAATTTAATCATTTCGGCTAATTTTGGCTGGAAATCGCTAACATGGCGGTCCAGTCGATGCCGACCATCCTACGTGACACTGACGTAGATAAATTTTTATTTTTAAAAAAAAATCAAATTTTTTTATGGATTTTTATTGATTATTTTATTTTTATTCTTTTCTTTCTTTTTTTTTTTCGTTCTTCTTCTTCGTTGAGCTTGTCAGCCATGGCCAGCCACTGGGCAAGGGCTGGTGGCCCCCGCCGGCCCCTGGGCGAGGGTCGCGAAGCCCTCGCCAGCCGTGGGCGAGGGCGTCACGACCCTCGCCTAGGCCGTCGCCGACCGCAGCAAGGGCAGACGAGGCCTACGATCGCCCTTGCTGAGGTCGGCGACGACCTAGGCGCGGGCTCGCAAGCCCTCGCCCAGATCCAGCAGGGGTCGCCGGGCCTTGCCCAGGGGCCGGCCACCCCCGCCGGCCCTTGCCTAATGGCTGGCCACCTCTGCCGGCCCTTAGCTGGCGAGCTCAACGAAGAAGAAGAACGAAAAAAAGAAAAGAAAAGAATAAAAATAAAATAATCAATAAAAATCAATGAAAAATTACAATTTTTTTTAAAATAGAAAATTATCCACGTCGCCGCCACGCACGACGACCGGCACTACCTATTGGATCGTCACGTTAGCGATTTCCGACCAAAATTAGCGAAATGACTAAATTAGCAATTCATTAAAAGGTTTAGGACTAAATTAACAAATAGTAAATAGATTTAGGACTAAATTGACACGATTGAAAGGTTTAGGACTGATTTGGTAACTTTTTAAAAGGTTTAGGACTGAATTGGCAAAATTGAAAAGTTTAGGCCTGAATTGGCCGCCGTACAATAGGTTTAAGACTTTTTGGACAATTTTCCCGGCATATAAGCTATGTGCGCTACTCTAATCGAGCAATTTAGCCGGAGCTACGAAAATGGGGTGTGCGTGCGATGGGATTATAAGCTTTGCTTTCTTCAGCTAGCACTTTGACCTCGTTCTTGTGTTATCCGGTTTGCGCTTTCGCCAAATCTCTTGAGATTGACATAGTTGGTCGGATCATTAGGAGATTTCTAGTTCAGGAATTGGGGGTCAACTGTTTGAATCCCATCAAAACAACGTGCAAATTGTTTTGGATCAGGGTCACTTCCAGATGTCAGGGTTTTTACTCACATGCCCTTGTATCGGTAAAAAGAAAAAAAGTGGCAACACGAAAGGAACGGGAAAATTGTCTAAAAAGTGCTAAATCTATTGAACTTTCTGTCATTTCAAATTCTAAATATTTCAACTTTATCAACGAGTCTCTAAACATTTTCACTTCTTGCCAATCGAGTGAATCCCGCCACAATTTTGGCTGAAAATTACTAACGTAGACACCGGGCCGGCCACTTCTGGCGCCGATATGGATATTTTTAAATTAATATTTTTAGAATTTTCAATATTTTTTTTCCTTTTCTCTATTTTGTTTTTTTTTCTAGGTTTTTGAGTTAGGGCCGACGAGGGTTGCCAGCTACGGGCAAGGGCCGCAACGCCCTCGTTGGCCAAAGCGAGGGCACGCGAGCCCTCGCCCGATCCGGCGAGGGCTTGGCAGCCGTCCCGGCCCCATGCTTGGCGCACATAAGCAGACTTTTCAACTCATCTATTTTGAATATTTTTAGTTACTTTGGTCTAATAACTATTCGTATTCAATTGATGTTCATACTCTGAAAAAAAAATTATCAAGATGAGCCCAGTTAGTCAGAAGAAAATTGAGAAATTTTTGAAGGGTTAAGCTTGCACTTGCGGGTTTCTTTTGTTTTTTTTTAGGATTAAACTGCTAATTTAATTAAGGGTTAATACCACTATGGGATTATAAGCTTTGCTTTCTTCAGCTAGCACTTTGACCTCGTTCTTGTGTTATCCGGTTTGCGCTTTCGCCAAATCTCTCAGAGATTGACATAGTTGGTCGGATCATTAGGAGATTTCTAGTTCGGGAATTGGGGTTACTGTTTGAATCCCATCAATACAACGTGCAAATTGTTTTGGATCGGGTCACTTTAGCCATGTGGGTTTTTTACTCACCTGTATCTTGGTAAAAGAAAAAGTGGCAACACGAAAGGAACGGGAAAATTCGTCAAAAGTGTTAAGGCATGAACTACTCGCCCAACGAGCGAGGGCCGCCTCCTAAACATTTTTCACTTCGCCAATAGTCAATCCGCTAATTTTGGCTAGAAATTCGCTAACGTAGACACCGGCCGGCGGCAATGGCCGACGCAAATTTTTAAATTAATATTTTCAGAATTTTCAATACTTTTTCGCCCGCTTGCGAGGCGCCTGCTGGAGCCGCCCGCTCGGGCTGCCGGACCGGCAGTGAGGTTGAAGATGAAAAAAATAAAATAAATAAATAAATAAAAATTCGAAAAAATAAAAATAATAATATTAAAACTCCCGGTCCCACGCTTGGCGCACATAAGCAGACTTTTCAACTCATCTATTTTGAATATTTTTAGTTACTTTGGTCTAATAACTATTCGTATTCAATTGATGTTCATACTCTGAAAAAAAAATTATCAAGATGAGCCCAGTTAGTCAGAAGAAAATTGAGAAATTTTTGAAGGGTTAAGCTTGCACTTGCAGGTTTCTTTTGTTTTTTTTAGGATTAAACTGCTCATTAAATTAATAAACTAAAATATACTTTCTTAAAAACAGAGGAGACCATCTTAATTTTTAAGCTGAATTCCCGAGGAAACTATTTGTCAATCCATACTCGTGTACTAGGTCATGTCAAAAGTGCCACCATACTCCATGGTGCACATGTAATTGACATTTGACAAGCTCCATCGAATTTATCACGCTAAATGTCGTCGAACGTCGCCAGGACATTCGACCTAAATCAGAAAAAAAAAAAATTTTGAGGACAAAAACAAAGTTGATATAAGGTTTTTTTAAACTATATACAAAGTTCGATTTCGTTATAGCTAGGTCACATCTGGGGTTGGTTTGATTGTGGCCAAACGAGTCTTTTAAGGCACAGAATGTATCCCGTGCTAAGGTCAATTTGCTTGGTGCAACAGTTTAGGTAGTGCATGGTTCAAACATTTCTCTCTTGATTCAATATGATAATGTATTTCAACAAGTGCCATTCGACTCGATGGAAGATCTGACTTAAATGCACAGCTTGTATTAGGCACTAACAAGGAGAGACACACAAGCAGGCTCTTGAGGGGCACAAAAAAATGGGTTGAAGGCCACCCAAAAGGGAAGGCTTCTTATGGCCACCCAATGCAGAAAATCGTCACTGAATTGTGGCCACTGGTCTTTACATATGCTGCTCAGAAAAAGAGGGTGTGAATGCAGATAACATGGTCATGAAGAGAATTTGGTGGAACCACAATTCTCATGTGAAGCCAAACTCAGATTGGCCATCCGTCCATTCCAATTCCAACCATTTTTCAACTCTCTCCTTTCTTTTTATCTTTCTGGGCACGGAACTTTTGTCACCTGCAATTCCAGATTCAACTGTTGAAATCATCAAGCAATGTCAAAAGACCAACTCGACCTAATGGAATCGACCGCATGGGTAAACCCTTGAGTTGGATCTCCGATGCATGCGTTTTTAAATCACGACATTTTCCGTTCACAATATTCTTGAAGGCCACACTCATTACCTTGTGCATGAGGCCTTAATTGATGCTTGTAGAAGGGGCGTTTAGCGTGCATCCGTGAAGATCGGTAGGATCCGAAAGTTTGGAATCCCGCGTTATGACAAATTATAGCTAAAAACAAAAATTAAGAAAATTGAACAGAGGCAGACTCATGTGGTGTGTGAGAACGGGGAGGGATATAAATGACTGGGAGTGAACAAGAGCCATTCATTGGATGAGAGGCTATCAACAATCTCATCCTCTCTTTGGTTACACTATCCAGTCACCACCCAACACTCACATTTCCTCTTCTCCTTCACTTGTTCCATGTTTTAAGCTAATGTTTGAAAAGAGCCCACTTAAACTTTCTTGCTAGCTGCTGCTTTGGGACCCTCTCACTTCGACCATGGCCTCTGCTGCCCTTTCTGTAGCCAAGCCATCCCTTCAGGTTCAACCCCCAAATGCTTTCCACGGCCGTTCTCAAGCTGATTCACTTCTTTTGGTGCATGAGCATGACACTCTTGTGCCATCTCCATCTGATCATACACTCATCTTGCGTCGTGTCCATCTGACTGACCTGTCTTGTTTCTTGATTCTGCACAGGCGAACGGAAAGGGTTTTGCAGAATTCTCCGGCCTTCGCAACTCCGCCTCGGTCTCATTCGGGAGGAAGAACTCGGATGACTTCCTCTCCGTCATTGCCTTCCAGACCTCAGCAGTAAGTTTTTTCTCATCTTTGTATTGGCAACCGTATTGCTCAATTGGTCCTACTACGAATTAACATGATCAGTCTTCTAAAACATCCCTTGAAATGCTTGATGAGATCCTACACCGATGCTCATGCATTAGGGACAACATTTACGGATGCAAAGATGTTCAGTTAGCTCTCTGACTGGAATTGAAAGTGAAAGTTATAGCGAAATTCAATCATTTCGATGCCCGATGAACCTGTTTCATAGATGCTATGGTTAAAACCGATTAGAAGTTCACATTTTTGCTCAAGCATGAACTATAATACAACAAGTGAACCTTTCGAATCACGAAACGGCCTAATGGGAATGACATTGAATCCTTCGACTCTGTGATAGATGGAGCATTTGAACAGCTTATCATGGCTTAATTGAGGCCTCATTTCATAAAAATAAGACGGCCAGTGTTGTGCAATTGGTCCATCTGTCTGCATGTTTTTTGCTGATACAACTCAGGTTGTCACAACTGAGGGCTAGTGTTGATATTGTGAATGTCAATCCAAGTCCCTTTCATTCTCACCAAAGTGAGCAAAAAACTCTTGTTTGAAGGTGGGAAGCAATGGTGGATACAGAAAGGGAGTGGTAGAGGCAAAGCTGAAGGTGGCCATTAACGGGTTCGGCAGGATCGGCCGCAACTTCCTGAGGTGCTGGCATGGCCGCAAGGACTCGCCCCTCGACGTCATTGCCATCAACGACACCGGCGGTGTCAAGCAAGCCTCCCACCTCCTCAAGTACGACTCCACCCTTGGCATCTTCGAAGCTGATGTCAAGCCCGTGGGCACTGATGGCATCTCGGTTGACGGCAAGGTCATCAAGGTCGTCTCTAACCGCAATCCCGTCAACCTCCCCTGGAAGTAAGTCCTCCATTGTTCAGCCAAACACACATTTATTTGCTTGTACGATGCTCAAACTAACAGTAAGTTCGCTTGTCGTATGGAATGAATTCCAGGGACATGCAGATTGACCTCGTGATTGAGGGAACGGGAGTTTTCGTCGACAGGGAAGGCGCAGGGAGGCACATTGAGGCTGGGGCGAAGAAGGTGCTCATCACCGCGCCCGGCAAGGGCGACATCCCGACATACGTCGTCGGGGTCAATGCTGACCTCTACAACCCAGCCGAGCCCATCATTAGCAATGCCTCTTGCACCACTAACTGCCTCGCCCCCTTCGTCAAGGTCCTCGACCAGAAGTTCGGTAATTCACCACCGCGTCGCTCTGCTGCTCTTCTATCAACTGCCATCGATTCCTGACTTCACACCCGGTGTCATGACAAAGAAGATCAGAACGATTGTGTTGACATGAATTTGTGGTGACAAAATTGTTTATGTGACAGGCATCATCAAGGGCACCATGACCACCACCCACTCATACACCGGCGACCAGAGGCTGCTTGACGCGAGCCACCGTGACCTCAGGCGTGCCAGGGCCGCCGCCCTGAACATCGTGCCGACCTCCACTGGGGCAGCCAAGGCCGTGGCCCTTGTCCTGCCTAGCCTCAAGGGCAAGCTCAACGGGATCGCCCTCCGCGTGCCGACCCCGAATGTCTCGGTGGTCGACCTCGTCGTGCAGGTCACCAAGAAGACCTTCGCGGAGGAGGTCAATGCGGCCTTCAGGGAGAGCGCCGACAAGGAGCTCAATGGCATCCTCTCGGTGTGCGACGAGCCCCTCGTCTCCGTCGACTTCCGGTGCTCCGACGTGTCGTCCACCGTCGACGCGTCGCTGACCATGGTCATGGGGGATGACATGGTCAAGGTGATTGCCTGGTACGACAATGAGTGGGGCTACTCTCAGAGAGTGGTGGATTTGGCAGACATTGTTGCCAACAACTGGAAGTGAAAAATCAAATCTGGACAACATCATCATCATCATCATCTTGGAGCTGGTTTTGTTTCCCACTCAACAAAAGTCAAGTAATTTGGATTTTTAGAAAATTACCTATTCTCTTCTTTTTTAATCTGTAATGTGACTGAGAATTGCGGAACCCCTTCTCTTTTCTTCTCTTTATTTATGAAATAATTTACCTTTTGTTCATTAGAAGGATTGAGCAACTTCTTCAAATTGCTGGTCTACCGCCAAAATATGATTCAGAAATTCTTGCTGTACTTTGTCCAATTCATGATCCAACTTCAAGCACTCATCCCCACTTGTCTGCAGGCAACCAGGAAGCAGTTTTAGAGTTCATTTCATTGCTGAATTAACATGTAAATAGTCTATGGACACTCATTTGTATAATTCCTTGAGTCCTCATGCATCAACTTATCCACCACCCCAAATCATGAAATGGGGCGTTCCATTTTTCCCCCATGACTAAAAACTGTTCGCAGAAAGGGAAACTTATCGCGAATAAATAGTACTTTCATCTTTTATACATTGCTCAAAAATAAAGAAAATCACCATCTCACGAGAAAAACGACAAATTCTTGTTTGCTTATACTGGGGTGAGGTGAGTAATTGGAGCTATCAAATACAAAAGACCAATCAAATTCGATGATGCAGAATGATAAATCACTCGACTCATGATAAATCCTGTAATTTAACGCAGGAAAACTTGCTAAGGGAAGACACTTTTAACTAATTGAATCACAACCACCAAAAAAAAAAATCATATGATGAACCATAAAAGAATCCGTTATAATTCCTTCAAAATGAGAGAATTGGACAGTTATTCTAGTTATCACCAGACAGAGACCAGGAGAACCTTTTCATCTTCATCCTTCCCCCTCAAAAAACCACGAGAAAAGAACAGAGGAAAAAACAGAACAAAAGGGGGAAAATTTTTCGTCCCACAGGAGGCTGCTTAGATTGTGGTCGGCTCTGTATTGGGTTGTGCCGGTTTGAGGTTGTCAGCGTTTCCTTCTTCCGTCCCATTGAGCAGCAGAGCATGGCAACATCAGCTGCAGCGGCAGCCACCTGCAGGCTCTTCTCCTTCAACCCAACCTCTCTCTTCCCTCTCGGGCGACGACCCACCTTCCTCTTCCCCGCCCTCGCCCCGACCCTCGCTCTCGCTCCTCCCAATTCCGCCTCTCGCCCCACCCACTCCACCACTCTCTCTCCCCACCCCCTGTCCCCCGACGAGGATCGCCGCCGCCGCCCCAACGTCGTCGACGTCCTCGAGGAGCGGGGCCTGCTCGAGTCCATCACCAGCGAGAACCTCCGCTCGGCCTGCTCCTCCTCGAGCTCCGGCTTGAGGGTCTACTGCGGCTTCGACCCGACGGCGGAAAGTTTGCACCTTGGCAACCTCCTGGGCATAATCGTGCTCTCTTGGTTCCGGAGGTGCGGCCACCGCACCGTCGCGCTCCTCGGCGGCGCCACCGCCCGCGTCGGCGACCCCTCTGGAAAGAGTCTCGAGCGGCCCGAGATGGATTTGGAGACCCTGGAGAGGAACACCGCGGGGATTGCGGCGACGGTAACTAGGATTCTCGGTAAGGGCAGCGATGGGGATGATGATGATGATGGTTCTTTTGTGATTTTGAATAACTATGATTGGTGGAAAGATGTGAAATTGCTTGATTTCTTGAAGAGGGTAGGGAGATATGCTAGGGTTGGGACGATGATAGCCAAGGAGAGTGTGAAAAAGAGGTTGGAGTCGGAGCAAGGGATGAGTTACACTGAGTTCACTTATCAGTTGTTACAGGGTTATGATTTCTTGCACTTGTTTCAGAATGAGGGGGTTAGTGTGCAGATTGGAGGAAGTGATCAATGGGGTAACATAACTGCCGGCACCGAGTTGATCCGGAAGATCTTGCAGTTGGAAGGGGCTTATGGCCTCACATTTCCCCTACTGCTGAAGAGTGACGGCACGAAGTTTGGGAAATCGGAGGATGGCGCGATTTGGCTGTCGCCGTCAATGCTGTCTCCTTACAAGTTTTATCAGTACTTCTTTTCCATTCCTGACACAGACATCGTTAGGTTTCTTAAAGTTCTCACTTTCTTGGAGATCGAGGAGATAAATGAGATGGAGAGGGATATGAAAAGACCGGGCTATGTGCCTAACATGGCGCAGCGGAGGCTTGCTGAGGAGGTCACCCGTTTTGTTCATGGGGAGGATGGTTTGCAGGAGGCTCTCAAGGCGACTGAAGCGTTGAGGCCAGGAGTGGAAACTAAATTGGATTGGAAGACCATTGAGGGAATAGCAGAAGATGTCCCATCCTGTTCCTTAAGTTATGATGATGTATTGAATTGTTCTCTTGTAGACCTTTCGGTTTTGGCTGGGCTGATGGAGAGTAAATCAGCTGCTCGTAGATTGCTGAAGCAAGGGGGTATGTATTTGAACAACTGTAGAGTCGATGGTGAGAGTAAGAAGATTGAGGCTGAAGATATCGTTGATGGGAAGGTTCTCCTGCTATCAGCAGGTAAAAAGAATAAGGTCGTTGTACGGATTTCCTAACCGCATTTTCATTTTTTTTTTTTTCAAAATTATTGAGTTGGCCTTCTTTTGTGAAGTAACTGCATGCACAAGAATTTTGGTTTTACGCCATAGCACTATTGGTGATTTCCTATATCACAGCTAAGATTGCTGACATTCAGCTGATGTTGAACACTGTGTTGTATCTTCTGAATCCTCCCTTTTTTCATTTGTTTTCTGGATCAATCAAAGAACTCATCTGAATAAAAGCAGTTTTGTTGCTTCTTTTTGTCATCAACTAGCTCTTTGTGGAATTCTTGTTACTCTTGATGCTGAGGCTGGTGAGTTTAGCTTGTCGATCCTTATGTTCCTGTCTTGTCACCAGTTTCCCCCACAATCTGTTGTATGATGGCAAGAATTAATGGATGGCCAATCTATAGCTGATTGCGTTGATGATTAATTAGTGGAATTTGGGTCCGATGGAGCTGGTGTGATGAGGATAGATGTATACTGTTTGATGCTAAAGTTCTGTTAATATCGGGGCTTTCAAATGTGTGTGGACATGGCAAAAGGAATGGCAAATCTGGAAAAAACTTCGACATTGTGCTTAAATTTTGAAGAGCCGGAATAAATGATGATTTTTTTTCAAATTCACCTCATGGTTGTGAAGAATAGTATTAAGGTTACCGAGGGTATAAATTTATGTTCACCTCAGACTAGGTGCACCGCTTATCTGGCTGCAGTGGATTGGGGTAGGCCAGCTCCAGTGACACCTTGGGGGTGGTGCAGCCGTTCCTGGTGCATTAGTTGCACACTTGCGACTTACGGTCCTTGTTGGTGAGAGAGTTGCACTATCTGATACCAATTTCACAGCACGGAGAGTAGGCTTTGTCGAGCAGGCATGTGAGATAAACTACAAAGTTCCAACTTCTAATGGTTGTTCAATTCTGTCACATTGCATCTCAGAATTTTGAGAACTTGAACTGCACCGTATAGACCAGTATCTGAGCTCTGAACTGCTATGAAAATCTGCCTAGTCTGCGTGAATACTATGCCCTGCTTGGTTTGTGCATGAGTGATGTAATCGACTTGGTTCATAGATTTCACTAGACCATCAGTCAAATCAGGCAAATTAAAGATTTCACCCCCATGTGGATCTTCAGACTCCAAAGGATCTATTAAGCTAATACCTGTAGATGGTACGTTTCTGATACTTTCCGTCCTGCTATCAGTTCAAAGTGCAATGTGCACATAGCGCAGTATCCAGCAACTACAACTGAATGTAGAAAAGGTAAATCTAAACCCACTGAGACCGAGCTATAGATAGATTCTATGAGTTAAGCAACCGATAACAGCCTCAAGAGGGAGAGTGTTTATTTACGATCATCTTACAAACACATTGCATATCAAGGGCAATAAAACTCCAAATTTTGATAAGCAGGTGCCTTCCGCCGTCGAAATCGATTTTATATTATGGTTTATGGCGTTAATTAGCCAAGACAGCTGGGAGAAGCTTGATAACTCCTCAAGCATCCTTTCCTTTATCTGTCCACATTCACGACACATCTTTTCTGGAGCTTGGGACGGATAGATAAGTTGGATCCATGACCTGTATCCGTCAATTGAAGCTGTCTACATCTAAGTCGAAATGAAACAGTATACATCAACACTTCCCTCGAATTCGGTCCATTTTCTCGACATACGGAAATTCACACAGTAATAAGTAACAAAAAGAATGTATTGCGATCGAGTAAAGGAAATTTTTCAAAAATCTAATGAAATCAAATACTATACATGAACACTCAAAAAGTATCCAATGAAGGTTGCAACAGAGCATCTACCTCATCAAAAGAAATCTATGATGAATCGTAAACTTGTACTGTGGATCCTCACACCTCATCTATGATAAACCTACTATCACATGTGATCAACAAAAATGATCAATTATATACAAGCCAATCGGAAAAAAAGAAACAAGAAAAATATGAAAGGTATATGGACTGTATAAATTTGATTCCCATTTTCCTCCAGGTGGCAACAGCATGAGCGACCTGCTTCTTCTAAAACAACCAGTGTTTCTTTTTCGGTTTCTGAGGAATTGGAGCATCTGCAGAAAATAGAAAATAATGTAGGCAACGCAACTGTATATTTCATGCCAAAAGATACAAGTAGCCAATAGGAAAACACACCTCGTAATTCGTAGAGGGAATTATAGTGAACCTCAGACCAGAAACTCAACCAAAACTCTGCATCAAGTGAAAGCAAGGTTAACCAAAGGAAAAACTGCAAATATGTGGAGTTTCAAAAGACCAGTTGCACATTGAGCAAAAGAGATAATAGATCAGTTGCATATGTTCACATCCAGGTTCTAAATCAAGCTATTCTCTCTGTGCCTGCCATGCCAAAAATTAGCATCCGATGAAGATACCATAGTTCTGGACAAATGTCCTTGTAAGGAAATTATCAACGGAACTATTATAATTTAGAATAAACACATTAACCTAGTCATTCAGTCATTGCATAAGTAGAGAAATCAAGCCGACTAGTAAACTAGGGTAACTACAAATTTTACATGGAGAGAAAACAAGAGAGAAAGAGAGAGAGGTTTCCTTTATAGGTAAGTCCTAGAATATCAACAAACCTTCATGAAATATAGAGTTAGACTTACCACGTTTGGGCGCCTCAGATCGGGGCATTATTTCAATAAAACACGTGTCTCTAAATGAAGTTAACAGGCAGATCTTTGCCGCAAACTGCATCGCAGTAAAATTCTGACGTTACTAATTCAGTTAACAACATCATGGAAGTTAATAAAAGGGTTCATGTAACTAATTAAACTTGGGTTATTCACCCCAAGGACAAAAGAACAAAGCAAATATACCACCTCATGCGAAGTACCATATGGACATGATCACAAAATTATTTTTATTATGATGCTTTCTTTCCCATTATGCTTACAGCCACATTTTCTGGGCCATTTCAGAACTCAAAGATCACATTAGTCACAAAGAATAACTTAGTGACAAAGTTGCAATGACACCTTTGTAACAGAAATTTAAAGATGAGTAACTATCTCAATGTTCTTATCTAACATCAAGTCATAGGTATTGTATTGCAAAGAGTTTCATTGCAGAAAATGGTAAATGTGTGATTGCATTGCACAGAGGCCATAGACATGAGATTAAGTTGTAGATGTAATTCTTGAAAAATAGTAAGGGTGTTAGAACAAGAATAGAGTAACCTTATCTGCAGCTGCTTGTAAGGTAACATGGTCCCCCCATTCACCAGATCTGCATCACTCGGTGGTCAGAAAATAGATAAACCATAAACTCTGTATAAAAACTAAAGATACAAAAAGCAACAATATATTTAAAATTTCAAGACAGGTACATCGCTGAGTCAGCAATAACTAAACCAAGATGTTAACATACTTTGCCATCTTCTTGTGATAACGTTTGTACTTCATTGGAACATAACCTTCATATAAAGAACGATAGTCTTTAAGCTGGAAAGGAGAGAGTTAAAGAATATTAGAGCACAAAAATCACTTGCTTATGTAAACTCTAATTTCTTCACTGTAAACTAGACAAATAATTCGTACAGGAATTAATCTTCAGTTTATGTAGCGGGAGTCTTATGAAAATCCAAATCAAACAGAAAGAGAGAGCATCATGCTAGACAGGGGTCACAGTGCAAAATGTGATTAAAATACGAGTCATGTATCTGACTAACTAGTCGACACAATCGCATATTGTGATGTCGTACCTGCTTCACTATTTCCTTCCTGACATGGCTGTGATATTCAGGAGATTTATACATCTGGTCTGACAATGCACGGAACTGCAAGGCAGATAAGAAACTTTTACTTATATGAACTTTATGGTTTATAATATTGCTTTCTGAATCCAATATACCTGGCAATTTCCATCCCCAGAGACTTTCACTTCATATAACCCATAGATATTCAGCCTGGAAAAAACAATGAAGGATTTGGCTTTGATAGCTAGCTTACATGGAATGAAGAGATGTATAACCGAAAGAGAATCCTCTAAACTTAACACACATCATTTTCTGAAAAGAGCAATACAAGCGCGGTGCTGCTAGGTGAAGCAGCCTGTGCGGTGACATGGGGGCGAAAGATAGGGGGGTGGGTATCAGTCCATTTGAGTTCAAGCCAAACACACGTGTATGAAGAAACGTCACCTAGATAGCATTCAGAAACATATACAATAGGTGCATAAAAGGGGCATAAATCAACAGCAAATAGCTTCTCATGGTAGAAATGATAGAAAGCTACACCAATCAAAAGAAAGGGGAGTTTGATTATGTGTTCATTTTCTGATAACCTAAACTTACAGGATAAGTGGTCATCTAACATGGTATAATATGAGATCTCAATTCATGCTTTTAAATCCCAACACTCTCTCTTTAGGTTATGGCCATGTTTCTTACGGATAAGGCTCCTATTCTTCGGTCATCTGATAGATGGGGGTAAGTCTACATTGTGTGATTCATGTCTCTACTTACAAACAAGGCAGTGTGTCAAATATACACTTGATATACATAGTGGTCCCATTTCCCAATAGCCTTCCAAGGGTAATCATATTTCCAAAAGGCATTCCCCAGAAAACTTCAATTCACTCCACCAAATATTCCAGCTTCTTCTTTATTAGCTCCAAAGAGTTACACACACCTTCGTCGCTATAATTAACAATGATGATCAAAAAAAGCCTTTGCAATTTAGTAGGCAAGTAAGAGAGATATTACCTCTGTAGAAGCCGCTGGTGATCTAAACTGGCATCACTTAGATCGGGGATGTAGGAATTTATGCGGGGAACGTGCTGAAATTTCAGAAACCAGTTCCAGGAGTTAATGAAAGGAGAACTACTGAACAAAAAGAGGGTGCTAATAGATGAATGAAGCAACAATTAATAGGAGGAGCAATAAAGCCACCAGAAAGACATTTCAAAACAATATCCGCATTCACAAGTATGGAACTCTTGAATATAATCATTTTCAACCCTATCTTTTAAATGGGCTCATACATCCTTTACCATTTAAATACGGGCACATCATTTGTAGTCAATACTTCTGATACATGACCAGAGCACCCGGGCACACCTCACTGGCATGGCAAATGAACACACATAAGACTGTTTTCTCATTGACAACTTTGGGCTCCACACATTAAATGGGCACGGCACTAAAGTTATTTTTTCTTATCCTTGAGAATTGGACCCACAGTAAGCTTATATCAAAGCCGTCTACCATCTCTCCCAGTTGCAATCGAGTAGCACGGGTGGTGACACCACTATTGCAGTGTCCGCCCTTGACCAGCAAAAAGGCTAGTGCAAAGCCAGGCTAACATGGGTATGGTTCTCCTAAGGTCCACATAAATCACACATCAAAGTTCTAAACTATCAATGTGGGAGCTAAGCCCCGTACCTTACAATAAGGATCATAACAGCTTAATGTGTTGTAATGATGCAACTCCATTAATTGTACATTTGAGAGATATAAAATGTACAAGGGCCCAAATTCTAGAAGATGGCATGCAGCAGTCAGATCTCCCCCATATCCTTCACACTTGATGGTGAAATTCAATGAAATAAAACATCATAAGGGCGTCAGCTATAAACTCGAACAATGACAATGCTCCAGTAAGAGATAAAGAAGGAACTATTTCTTTCTCTTTTGTCGGGGGCCTCTCCCTTGTGTGTGGTATTCAAGAACAAAGGATGTGAGAAAAAAGTTACAGAAGAGAGACAGCGAGATCTAACCGGAACAGGAGCTAGATTAGAAAGGCGTCTACCCACTCCTCCATCCAGTTGCGCATATTCTTCAGATAGAACGAGCGCAATCATCCGGTCATCCTCGAGATCCTGTTGACTGCTTAAGGAAGTTGAGCTGGAAGATTCGCCCACGCTTTGAGTTCCATTCCACATGTTAGAAATCCACAAAAGTCTGTCACCTGCCGAACGACGATACCGTAAGTGCACTTCCCCAGCTCAAAGCTCACAAAGAAATAAAAAAACTCCACGCCAATCAGATATCTTGCAGAAAACCATCGCGTAGCACCATGGGTTGTCCGATAAAATTCCAGAAAATACTATCGACGCGAGTCAAGTGATTAATTCGGAAAGAGGAAAGTTACCAACTTGCAACAAGGACGGGGAAATGTATGGCCACCCTTAATTCAACATTTACAACAACTCTCCAGCGAAAAAGACAAAAAGAGGGATGCCATTCATGCAACGGAGATCTTTCTCACACTGGGATATGCAGTTCAATCAAGAGGATGAGCAGGTGGTGCAGGTGAGAAGCTGCACCTGCGTGACCCATCACGACGGACACAATTCAAAGATTCCAAAACACTCGTTTGGCAGTTTCTAGACGGGCATTTTCGGATTATGCCTAGGCAGGGGAGGAGGACCCACATGCAGTTTATCGTCTAACCCAGCGGCGGGCGGGCGGGCAATTCATCGGGACAGCATCGGGTTTCTGGTTTCTAGCGATCACACAATTTCAAGAAACCAGAGGAGGCATTCGCCAATTCGAAAAAATATAAAATTGCACCTCGATAGTAGAAATCTCGCAAAAAATCGCCTAGCTTAACCCAATAAAACCTCAAAAAAAAATATAAAAATAAAAACAGGGACAGGAGAACACAACCGACGTCAAACGCAGACAAGAATCGCACGAGAACAATCACCACCGAGCCGCAAAGGTAGATCGAGGACAAAGAAAGATTCTGCGATCGAGGTCAAATTGCGAAGCGCACCAAAAATAACGACGGCGGAACGGAAGGCGAAGGGGGCGGCGGCGGCGGGCGAACTCCGAGCGCGAGGCTCCCGCGGAACGAACCAACAGAACCGACCCCGCGGCGCGATCGGGCGGGATCAGTGTCGGGAACGTAAAGAGGAGGAGGAGGAGGAGGAGGTCGATGCCCTCCCAAAGGCTGGCCTCGATCAGACTAGCGGTGGTGGGTCGAGACGCGGTAGGCCAGACACCGAGAGAGAGAGAGACAGAGAGGGAGGGAGGGAGGGAGAGAGAGGTCACACCACACCTTTTAAAGACCGATTCGCCCGTTGATGACGATGGGGTCGACGACGTCGATCGAGAGGACAAAAAGGGGAGACGGAACACTCTGCTTTTGCTTTTTCGCCTGCCTGCCTGCCTGCCTAGTGCCGACCCACCCACCGGAGAAGAAGAAAGTGAGAACGCAAAAAGGAGAGAGAGAGAGAGAAAGAGAGATGTTCCGCGTGCATTCAAGTTGCGATCGGGAGAGAAGATCAAAAATCATCCCCGATATAATTAAAAATTGAATCGGACTGGTGTGGGGGGGGAGGGTTGGTGTTGGTTGGCTTTCGCGGGGACTTTTCCCACCGAGGGGGGTTGAGAGGAGGGGGGGGTGCAATGCCCGACCCACGCGTGTCCTCTGTCGGATGGCGGCTTCAGTTTACGCGCGCTGTGCAGATCTTGAGCCCCGTCTGGGCCCCACAATTCGCCCGCGGGGCCTGCACGGTTTGCACGGTAGAATCGGGAACCGCAGAACTGGATTAGTTCCCCCTGTCTGGTTTTCAATTTCAATGCGCCCCGGTTGGGATCCCGGGAAACCAAGAACCGTGCACACCCCGGTTCGGAAATCGAATCGAACCGAACCGTGAATCAGGAACTAAGAACCGATAAAACTCTAAAATTAAAGATGCTGGTGAGGCTTGGCCGCTTGAGCGAACAAAGAAAATTCCTTCCTCAGTTCCTTGGTCGCTGTATTTGTTGATATTAAGGAGTTTATGCTAAAATCTCTCAAAGCATACTTTGATTAATCGCGCAAAGTCTCGACGTTCTTCCAAATATAAGCCTATAACTTTTTCCTTGTAAAAACTTGGATGTGCTTATCTATGATGGAGTTTATACTAATCTTTCTTGCAATCAATAATGACCAATGTGGAAGAAGCCTCTTACTTTGTCCTTGTAAAAACTTGGATGTGCTTATCTATAAAGGAGTTTATACTAGTCTTTCTTGCAATCAATAATGACCATTGTGCGTAAGGTCGCCTGTAGTTACAATAGAGGTTACTCTTAGGGAGGGATCTAATTATCTACTAATAGTCAATTATAAAGTTCTAACAAAGAGGTTAGACGAAGACATATACAAAGGGTTTCCAAATATCAGAAAACTTATAGAGTGACAACAGAGTTATATATCACACTAATTTTCCCAAGTCTTTTACGTATTCATCTTTTATGAATTGTGTTTACCGACAAACGAGAAACCTCGTTTTTGTTTTGCATTTGCATGTTCGTCTTTTATTTTACTTCACATAAAATAAAACAAAAAAGAAGGAACCGGTTAAACCCCAGAACCTACCCTAAAAGGAACCAATCCTAGAACCTGTGACAGAATAAATTCCAGATTCCAAATTATGAAAAACTTGTTCTGACAGGTAAATTTTAGGTGGCACCTTGAACCGCCCACTCTAGCATTGGATATATATATACGTTGGGCAATTCATCAGGCGGCACCTCAAACCGCCCACTCCTGGCATAGGATACATTTTTTTTTTTTTGGTCAGCTGGCATAGGATATATATATATATATATACGTTTGGCAATTCACCTTTCATCCATTCGGACTTCAAAGACCCCTTCGACATAGAATTTCAAATATAAGCCCTAAAGTAACTGGATTTGTATTTAAATTTGTATTTATGTTAATGTACAGTAAATACAGGTCCAGGATTTAAGGGGGGCAGACTCCAGTAAGAATCCCGATCGTCCAGACACCCGCCATGCCATCTCAGTCGGTAACTACCCACAGGAAAACGAGAAACGTCGAGCAAGCAGTCCGAGAACCCTTGGCCCCTCTTATTTAGCTTGAAATGCACATATGCTGTAGCATCATCGCCTCCTCGGACTTTCTTCATGTTACACTTTTCTCCGCATCCTATCACCTGATGATATAGCTTTTCGTTCAGTTCGACCATATCATCACTCCCCCAAGGTTGATGAACCGAAGATGCAGCCACGTTGCACGCTCCGCTCGGTCCTTGCAACCCGATGGCTTTTCTGCAGCGAATGATGCAGTACAACTTTGTCGGCTGAACAGGAAGATCGGGGGGCATGTTCTTCAGTTGAAGGCAGAGATTCAGAGACAGTTGGAATCCTTGTGAGACGTTTAACCCATCTGGGTGCCTCGGATCAGCATTGAAGACATAGAGCTCTGCCCCGATGGGAGGCCTGAAATCAATAACGTCTAGTGTTAAAAGAGCTCCTTATAATCAAAATGTCGCGCTCGTTAAAAGCAATGAAACAGATATTCCCCTTTCCTCCTCCAAACCCAGAAAAGAGACATCAAACTAACTAAATTACCGATCAATAATCTCAGACATTCTCTTGGCTAATCAACTACAAACCTAACAGATTAGCAGAAGAAAATAAACAGTGATCTGCACGTGAACGAAGTTGCACTACTATCGTAAGATCAATAAAGTGCAGGCATGTCGATTTTGCCACTTAATCTACTGAAACATCTTCTGCAAGCTAAGATGGCCAAAGACCTTGCAAAAGCGTACTTACCTTACTTTAAAATAGTATTTAGGGGCTCGACTAGGAATTTGGAACCAATTCATAATGACATTCATTGCAAGTCCTCCACTGACTTTGGTAATCTGGGAGAGAGATTCTTCCTGTACTCGGTTCGTCTGATTTCGCAAATTAATAATTCCAGAAACTGCACAGTGACAAATGCTGAGCAGCTCCTTCACTTCACAGCTGCTAAGTTGAATTTTGGACTGCAAGTGAAAACAGCTCTTGGCCTGCTCATTCACATCCAAGAGTGAAAGGATACCTTTGGTGGTCTCGTCATTTAAATGGAATATCCGTCCAGACAGATTTTGCAATACCGCTGCCTGCGTAATTTTTTTGGAGTCTTCTAAACAAGAGGCTAAACTTTCTTTGGGAGATAAGCTTGGAATAAAGAGAGCAAAACCAGTGACAAGTGAGAGTAGTGAACAACCTAATGCAAGTGTTGAAATAATTTGCAAACTTCTTCTGTCAATACCGATGAAAGATACAGCAAGCAAATCAAACTCCTCGGATAGCTTCATTAGTCGAGATGAGATTAGAATGAGCTCTCGCAAGAACTTCACGCACTCATCCTCTCTCCTCTCAATCCCTTCGTTATTGCCATTGTCATTATCAAAAGAAATGGAAGCCGAGACTTTCATCATTTCAACAACAATTTCCAACAGTTTCACTCTTAATGCCATAAACCACGTCTGGAAGAGAAATGCTCTGTCAGATGTAGTACTAGATTCCAACGTTTTCCACGAAGACTGCAGATTAAAATAAGCATCAGAAACCTTCTCTCCAAATTCAGATGAATTCATAGACTCGGTTGCACCTTCTCCAGTCTTACAGAACTTTCCTCGAATAAGCACAATAGGGATCTTGATCTTCTCTAAACATTCTATCAAACTTGATCCTTTATCTGGTAAGATGAGCATTTGAAGTTTCATCTCCGCCAGAGAAAATTGAGCTAGTGATTTCAACCAGCAACAATGGGATTTATATTTGACTCTGGCTGATAGATCAGAAAATATGCAATTTGCTGTAAACCATGCTCCCTGACATGCTGCATAAAAGCCAGCATTATAAGCAGGCCAGTACTCCTTGTCAGCCAATATCTTTCCTGCACACTCAATACTAAAGCATTCGCGTTCAACCAAGTAACCACAAAGAGTAGCATGGAGGTTCGTATTAATTACCCCATTCTTCTTCACCGTGCAGATCCAAATATATGGACTGCGCAACAGTATTGAGCATATTATCCGTACATAAGAAGTAAACAAGCTGCAGTGCTGAATGCATTCAGCCAGAACCTTAACTTTCTCAAATATCTGGGTGGTGATAGCACCAGCTTCACTTAGAACTTCAAGGAAAGATGTCAAAAATCTGCAGATGATAAGTACAAGGTTTGATATTCTAACTATGTTTCCTTCCTTCGTATATTCTGCACCGTCATCCACTGATAGGCCATTTTCTTTTGAAGACCTCGCACCCTCACACTCGTTTAGAAGACCTCTAATAACCAAACTGGTTTGATCCAGCACCAAAGCTCCCAGATCCAAGTCTCTGCTAGCCAGACGAAGAAGTAGCCTGAGCATAATCTTTACTTCACCAAACACTTGAGAGTCGCTATGAGAAGGATTAGAGGATGGCCTAACTAGAAAAAGGATCCGATCAATGATGGATCTGACAACTTGCAGAGGCAGAGAAGAATAGTACCCAACGGATTTCATTTCTTCTCTCACACTCACCATAAGAGATGAATCTACTAAAAGACAAAGGGCTAAGAGGCTCTTTGGCTTGGTAGGACATTGGGATGCAATACTTACAAATATCTTAGCGAAATCGAGCATGTCCATGGGAGACATGCTCGGCAATACATAGAACCGAACCTGCAAAAGTGGAAAGATCTCAGTACACTTCAATAGGGATAACACAAAAACATAAATTTAGACGAAGAATGCAGGAGTATTTAAGAGACATGACCCGACACAAAATCCGTAGAGCTTGGCATTGAAAGCCTGTAGGAAGGTTAGGATCATCTACTATTCTGAGCAACTTCTTAACATTTCCAGCGTCAGGGAAAAGGAGCACTCCTCTTCTGTACACACAATGGATACATCTCAGTGCCGTTTCTTGCATAAATAATGTTTTCCCTTCACTCAAAATTGAGAAAAGCAAGTCCACCTGCATTTAAATGTCAAAAATGCTAGGCAATTATACATCAGAAATGGAAATTTTCAATCGTTGCCACAATTGGGGATAAACAGCAAACTTTCAATACACTCTAAAACCACTGAGCGGATTTACTGCCAACTACAACCACTGTTATCAATCTATCAAGGAGATAATATTTTTGTCAAGCAAAATAGTACTACAAGGAGATAATATTTTTGTCCTGAATTAGTGGCTACCAAATGTGCTAAGACCAGTTGTTTTCTTCTCTGTGAAGAGCACATAGAATCGGAAAGAAGGGGGTCATCAAACATGAGGGTAAAACAAGAGGAAAAATATCAGTGTGACGAAGCACTTTTCCCAAACGGTTGATGATAGAACAGTTTAATCGACTGGATTTGCTCCCCTGTTAAAGAGCCAAGAATGTCCTGTATAGTGCAACTGACTAACAGGTAGAAACACCCTAGCTTTTCCTCAAACAGATTATTTAGGCTAAGAGCAAACAGTTGAAAAACTGATTGAGGACAAACATCCAACCAAGAGATTTCTAAATGTTATACATGTTTTATGTCAAACTAACCTGTTCAGAAACAAGTAGAGGCGATATGCAAGCAAGTTTTGACAGTGAAACCAACATGGCGGCCAGAAACTCCTCATCAACAGAGCCTAAAAGCATCTTTAGACCTGTCTGCAAAAATTAATGCTTAGAATACTGTGAGTAATTGTCAACAAACATGCATGTAGATGAACTTATGAAGCTCATAATATGACTTTTGTTTCTGACTTCTGACTATCATCCTTTACTATCAAAGAACAGAATGAGCTAGTGATAGCTAAGAGCAAAAATTTCAGTTACGAGTATGGTGCGGAATTTCAGGCGCGTATATAATAGAGTGGGGAAGCATTTACTGAAAGTACATGGAAGAGACAGACTTTAACGCGAGACTTTATCTCTATCAGTGGATTTTGAGCTAATACAACATAGTTCTTTAGCTCTGAAATTATCTTTAAGAAAAATGTCAAAGTAACACAGCTAATATGCGAAGCTAAATCCACTTTGGCCACAACATCAAAACTAGAGTCTCTATTCACATTTTTCTCATGTCGAGGCACAAACGATACCAAACCAATCATGCCGAAGACAAAAGAAATTTTTTCTTGCCAATGCATTTCTCACAAACAAGCATAGAGAAACTGCTGAACCTTGTAAGCTCCATCTGCAATCGAACAGGAGCAGTTCATTTTCGGGAAAACACGTGCTCCAGCCAACCTAACAGTAGATGATGTATCTGATGAACTCATCAGATTAACAAGCATCTGTAAGAAAACCAATGCAAAGTCATCTGCTAACTCACAAAAGCACCCTCCCGCGAATAAAGATGCCTGTACCTGTAAAAGAACGGCAAAATCCAAATGAACTCCTTTCGATCTTGTATGGCATTAAATTAACCAATGGATATGCTTAGGAAACAAAAGAAAACAAAAAAGTCTAGAAGAAAATTGTCCTAGCAAATTAGAGAGGTCTGAACATGAAGAAAAAGACATAATCCCCCTGCTTACACGCTTAGAAAACGCTTGTTTTGTCGAAATTTCCCTGTTTCATGACAAAAACTCCAACATCCATATACTAAGCTCTCTCCAACAGGCAACAATGCTGATCCGATTTCAAAAGTATCCTAACCTTACAGCTCCAAACTAGACGAACAACAGGTGCCAGCTCGAAAAGCACAATTGGAAGTAAGTTGTTCACACTGCCCACGATTGAGAGACAACGGGTTTTGAAACATTTAACAATTAACCAATCTCACCTCCAAAATCTCGGAAGAAACCAAACTTGAAAGTATCAGGTACCGCACATGAGCACTGTCCCTAGCGAAATCGGCGCAGCACCCGAAGATCACGAGAGCCATCGCTCTCGACTCGACATCCCCGCCATCGAACACGACCTTCACTCTAGTCAGCAACGCCGTGGGATTATTCACGCGACCTCTCGACAAGATCCCCTTCACCGCCGCATCCCCGCTCCTCTTCCTACCGCATCCGCGCAGCCCCCGGAAGACCCTGACCACGGCGCGCTTGATCTCGCGGTCGCCGGACAGAAACGCGTCGGCGAGGCGCAGCAGGATCGCGTTGGCGAAGAGCCGCTCCTCTCCGGGAACCAGCCCGTACATGCTGTAGACCGACATCGCCGGCTCCGGCTCGGAGCTCCACCGCTCCAGCCTCTGCCCCGCCTGCAGTATCGCTTCGACCGGCCGACCTGTCGTCAACGAGACAAGGCGGGAAAACGACGGCGTACGACATCAGCGAACGCCGCCGATTGTGAGGGAGTAGGAGGAGCAAAAGAGGCGAGACTGACCGGGGATTTTGGAGCGGAGGGATTTCTCGAGGTCGATGCTCCAATCCATGGCGCAGGCTGCGGATATCTTCTCCATCGTCGCTTCGGCTTTGCGGAATCATCAGAAGAAGAAGAAGAAGAAGAAGAAGCACGAAGGTATGGGGGATGCTGAGAATCGAGCGCATAAAACCCTAAGTCTTCCTCGGTTCGATGACAGTAGAAGCAGAGATTTCGCGGGGTTTTTTTTTGTTTGTCGAGGCAGGCCCGTTTCGTGTCCCCACGGCGCCGTTTCATCCGGGGTTGCCCGCTTTTTTTTTTTTTATTGGGTATGTATTTGTGACTACTTTTACAAAAGATTTTGAAAATATTTTTGCAATAAACGATCGTTCATCTCGCATACAAAAATGAACAAATAAAAAATATTATGATCGTCCACGAAGATATTAAAACATGATTTGTTGATTAATTATTTCGACTCAAACAAGAATCGTTTTTAAATTAATATTATTTAAATTATTCATTTTTCTCGAAACGAACATAACCTTAATTTTTTTTTTATAGGGTGGATGGTTGGTATTTGTAAATTTGTAATAAATACATGATAGGAAAGTGTAGTTTCGGAAGTTTATTTCCTAAAGTGGTTAAGAAATCGCAAATTATATCGATTTCAATAGATCACGCTTTAGGTATTTGACAATGATACTCGAGCTTTGTTCATCAATCGCCGCACGAAATCAATCGTTTTGTAGGACAATTTCCGGCTCCCTCCATGGGCCTTGGGACTTGGATCCGAACACCGATAAGGTCGATACGACCCCGCAACCTCGAATATTTCTTTAAAACCAAATAAAAAATGAAAGCCTATTTTTCAATGGATTACATAACAAATACAATATCTAAAAACTCTGTATATCGCTCATACTCCGTTCAACATTAAATTCCATTGCTATTCTTTTATGTCGCGAAATATAAATATCGAACCGGGCCTTTCGAAATTATATGACGTTAGATTCGCGAGGAAATCGGAGCATAGCGACTCCAAAATGGCGCCAACTCGAACTCGAAGACCGACGGACCATGCTTCTTGGCACCTCCCTTCTTTAAACGCGGCGATTCATCGCCGATCTGAGTTTCGTACGGATAACGACGTGGGACCGGGAGTTTTTCCGATGGCGGAGGCGGCGAGTCACCGCGGGCTCCGGTCGAGCGCCTCGTTGAACCGCTTCAGGGAGAGCTGCTTCTGCATCCTGATCTGCCGGTGGAACCGCCGGATGAACAGGTCGGCCACCCGGTCGATCTCGTCCTCCAGCACGAAGTCCTCCCCCTCCTGCTTCGAGTTCTTCACCAGGTCGATCACCGACCCCCCGGGGTCCTCGAAGTCCTCCAGCTCGAACATCGACTGCCTCGGATGATCCGGATACTTCGCCGCCTCCTCATCTCCGGCCGCTCCGCACCTGACCAGCTCGCCGCGGGCCATGCCGTGGGCGTAGACGACGACCGCCGCCGACTCCCCGCCGTCCTCCCCCTCGTCGCCGCCGCGGCGACCGGGCTCGCGCGGGCCGAGGAGGCCGTGGAGCTTGTGGGAGATGGACTCCACCACGAGCCGACGGTTGCGGAGGAGGGAGAGGAGGAGGACGCGGGCCTTGAGGGCGTTGGTCTTGCTCTTGAGGGCGAGGGACTTGGCCCTGGTGAGGCCGGCGAGGGCGCCCAGGATCTGCTTCAGGAATCCCGAGCCTTTGTTCCTCATCTCCGATCCGTTTCGGCTTTTCGAACTCCCCCCCCCCCCGCGCCTTTTCGAACGAGCCAAGATCAGATCGGGACACCGGATTGGATTAGAACGAACAGGGGATTCTCGTACTTCTTGAGGATTGATTTCGTACTTGGAAGGAGATGAGGATTTGAGCAAAAGCAGTGGTTTTTTGGCATGGGAAGAGCGTACGAAGGCGGACGGGGGTTTATATAGAGAGAGATTCTTTGGGTGTTTGCACTGCATGGATCTGGTGTGGGTGAGAGAGAGAAGTGGGGAGATTAAGGAAAAGGCAAGGTCGGTGAAAGTGGAAGTGGGAAGTCTCAAAGCGAGACTACACGTGGCTCCGCTTGTTTGGTTGCGATGTATGGTCCATTATTGCTCGAATTCTTGACATGTCATTGGATTGGTCCCAAAGACTCCTCCACCGTGCTCCCGTTTCGATAGATCTCGACCGTTGATTGAGATTGACGGAGACACCGAGGGGGGGAAACCCATGCGGGGGGACGGACCGACTCGCGTCCCAATCCGCGGCCTTGAACTGTTTCTTATTCTCGACGATGAAAAAGGCCTAGGTCGGGATACTTAGCAATAAGTAAAAGGGCGCTTGAGGAGTTCCACAATGAGATATTCTCCTTATGTTTTTTTGGTTGCAGTCGGGATCCGTTAAGGATCTCGTGCGTGGTGTTCTCTAGTGGTGTCTCCAACCATAGATTCGCGAAAATGAGGTTCTTCGGCAATTAAGATTTGTCGAATTCCCAGAGAGGGCATCGAGTGGAACCCGTCTGATTCGAATGATACTGCATACTAGGGGTGTGCATGGTCCGGGTGGGCTGCTCCCACCCCGGAACCGTGGACCGCCCGCTACAGGACCGGTTCTAAAAATTGGAACCGAGAACCGCCCGTCGGTTCCATGGACCCACCCGAGAACCTGACCGTAGGTCCGGTCCGGTTCTTGGGCGGGTCCATGGAACCGGTCTCAACAAGTTTTCCTCGACAAATAAAAAAAAAATCTGTGGACCAACATCGGATCAACAGAACAAAAGGAAAAGAACATAACTTTTCATACAATTCCTACACTATGATCGATTATATTAACCACATCATCCATAAATCAAGTGGGTACCCATTAATTATTGGGAAAAATGACCAAGGTATCCCAATTATACAAGAGCTTAAGACATGATAACAAATTTTCTTCTTTTTTTTTTAATTTTTTTTGGTCATATTTTTTAATTAAAAATTAAAAAATAAAAATATATTATTATTATATTACCGGTCCGGTCCGGGTGGGCGGGTGGGCGGTTCCACACCGGGAACCGGGAACCGGCCCAAACAGTACCGGTTCCAAAAAATTGGAACCGGGAACCACCGGTTCCGGGCGGGTTCCGGTTCTTTTGCACGCCCCTACTGCATACAAGTTCAATTTGAGTGACTACTCATTTAGACTCTTGGGTACCGTCTGTTTCCCGGAAAATGAATGATTTTAAAAAAATATTTTTCTTGAGATGATCACTTGTGTCGCTTGATGAAATAATTAATCAACGAAAAAATGTTGTTATTGTCTATAATAATTAATGATTAAAAAAATTTATGGACGATGAAAATATTTTTCGTTCATTCATTTTAGTTCCTTAGAGTCTAATATGGACAATGCTACCGTTCCATTTTCCAAAAAAAAAACAGATTTTTTTATAATGATAATAGATTTTTGATATCGTTGGCGAGTGTTAAAAAGTTGATAATAAAACAAATTATTCATCACTTGATTTTACGATAATTTGTTGGTAACTTACCGATACTTTCATAAAATTACCAGCTCATCTTAACTGTTTGTAAATTAACCGTTTGTCTTATATATTACTAACTTTCATTTGGTTTTATCCTCATGCCTTAAAATTACCGACTCTTGTATAAATTTACCAATATTTATTTGAATAATTTACAAAATAACTTTTTTTCCGATTAAGTTCTCGACTAGTTTTGAGTTATTAATTCTCAATTGAGTTACTTACCAATGTTTACTTCTTCTTTTTTAATTTATCAATCGTTTAACTTACTTTAGTTGTGTTTCTAACGAATGCTTTAAATTTATCAAACCTTTTATATGAATTTACCAATTCTTATTTGAATGGCTTACCAATTTTTCTCCCATTCGGTTATCCAAATCTCATTTGAGTTGCTTATAATCGTCCATTTCATTATCTAAAAAAATTTACTCGCTTTCCTATTGAGTTACCAATTTTCATTTGCCTTGATCAAACCTCTGTCAAATTTACCTTCAGAAGAGTTGGCAAATTACAAAAACAAAGTAAATGTCGGTATGTAATTCAAATGAGAGCTGCTAAACCAAAACTAGTTGGTAACTTAATTTGACAAAAGTTTGTAAGTCACTCTATTTTAGTTTAATAATTTCATATAAGAGTAAGCGAATGATGGACATTAATAAGTTATTCAAATAAAACTTGATAAGTCAGGACAATAAATTGGTAATTTCAACACTTACTATAAAAAAAAAGTTGGTAATTTCATTAGCAAGTTACCAACAAGTTACCTGAAAAAACTACTTATTTTTTTTTATTAATAGTTTCTCACAGTTACCAGCACTTACTAAAATTTATCATTATAGAAAAAAAATTGTATTTTTGGATTTGAATTATAGAAGGGCAAAGATACGTATGCAAGTAAATGTCAACCGTCTCGACATCGTTTTATCTCATCAAATACCTATATATTGTTAGGATTCGGTGCACAATCACAAAGAAATAGCGAAAAAGGAAAATCGAGATACAAAGTTTTTATCCTGATTCATCCTTAAAGTAGGGTTACATCCATGTTACATCCCTCAATTACAAGAGAAAGAAAGAAAAAAATATAGGTTCAAAATATATATATATATAAGCAACAGTAGTTATTCATGGGCACAAACCCAAACTATCAATAAAATATAGGTTCAAAATATAAAATTTATCTGCCTTCGCGGGGGCGCCGCCCCTACAACCCCTGTCGGGGTGGCCTCTTGGACCTCCATGTCTTCCTATCGGAAGGGAATACAAATCACATCCCAACATGTATTTATGCCAAAACACCATTTCATCTCACTTTCTATAGCTTCAAAAACTACTTTCAAAATAATGAGTAAAAAGTTATCAACTAAATTACATCCACCCCCAAGCACTCACTTGCTCCATATATATATATATATATATATATATATATATATATTCTTTCACACGTTCCCTCAGGCAAGGCCAGTGACCTCAGGCGAGGGTGGCGGTCATCAATAGCTTGAGGACTTTTTGGATAATTTTCTCTCTTACAATTATAATTAACAGTTAAGTAATCCCCTTTACCAAGCCACTTGTGTTATTATATGCCATCGTATTCGTCATAAGTGTAGACTTACATGTGATTGTACACGTCCATAGTCATCCCCAACGATCTTCCTTTTGCTACAACATGGAACGCAACAACAGCTTCCAACGAGGGCGCAAGCCAAAGACGTGCAAGGGAAGCAAAAACGAGACATCACCGCCTAGAAGAAACACTATATGCACTCGAGTTTAGGTACAGATTGCGATTAAGGAAGCTCATCACAACCGAGCAATCACACACGGTCGAGAGCCGACTCCATCGAGGCCAATAGCCGCGACGGCCCGTGTCCTTACATGTCGTCCTCGGCGGTCAATATTAGCGCACGTGGTTGTAGTACCTCGAAGATATTTTGCTATGGTGATTCGCTGTACTTTGGCAATAGTTAACCAAACTGGTGTCAAAGCAAAGGAACCCCTAATTCGCCCCTTACTTTCTGCAAAAACCAGGGGCTTACCAAACGAAGCACCACGCCCCACTTGATGAATTCGTGGAGGAAAAGTTAATATGGAGGAAAAAGAGACCCCACTAAGCAATTAATAATAAATAGTACATATATAATTAACTCCATAAATAAAGCACATAATATAAATGCGAAGAGCAAAAGGCAAGAGGGGGTCGCTTTTGCTTTATCTCCGCTTGTCGCTCTTCCGAAAGCAAGTAAAGTAAACCCTAATTCGACGGAAAAGCAAATGTATCGAACAACATGTCCATAGTGGGAAATATTTATTGTAATTTTATATTTTTATATACGTTAATATGAGAAATAATACATCGCGTGAGAGCTTGTGCATGCTGCCCTCAAAGCTGTAAAGCTCCGTTGTAATATATAATTAGTAGGGCAAAAAAAGAAAAAGAAAAAAAAAAGAAGAAGAAAAGGCGGTACAGTGCATGGTGGATGCCATTTTGATTTTATTTGAGGGAGGTCTTACTACTATACTTTATATTGCTTTTCTGCTCTCTTTTTTTTTTTTGGACCTTTTTTGTCCGAGTGGAGAAGCACCCCAAAAGAAGGTTAGGGCAAGGTGACAAACGTTAGTATAAGTGAGTTTTTGCTTTACTTGATGTTAACAACGTCAGGTTAAATGTGCGTACCCATTCGCATAGTTATGCTCGTGAGGTTAAATGTGCGGTCACTGCTAAGCATGAATTAGCTCACGTGCCCCAAGAGATTGTCGTGTTTGGGATCGGATTTAGTAGGGCTCCTCCGTCTATTCTGGCCAAAACTCATGCTCTATACTGTGTTGAAAGTCGGGCATAGATCGAAACAGGCGCAATTGGTCTCAAACCTAAAAACCTAAAATCTATCATGTTAGAACCAGTTCCTAGTTATTGAAACTTAAAATCTATCTCGTTTGTCCTGGAACCGACCCGATCCGGTTCCAGGGTTGACCAAGAACCTGTATTTTTGTTGTTCCTTTTTTGGTTTCATTTTACACAGCAAAATAATACGAGTAACAAAACGAATCAAAGTAAAAAATGAATGGGAGCAAAGTGAGCAAAGATGAGTCAAGAATGAGCGAGAGTTGCGAGACTCGAACGAGCAAGGGCAAGCCATGAGCGAGTGAGAGATAAAGAGTTGTGAAGTGTCTGAGTGAGGTTATAGAGACCGAGAAAGAGAGAGAAAA